GGTACGCGACCATCCTAGAAAAGTAGTAGCAGGGAATGAGCTGAACCAGTGGCAGCACTGCATAAGCCTGAGCGAGAGATGGCTGGAGCTGCAGGGCTATCAGGGCTCAGTGGAAGCACCAGGATCAGCGCCAGGCTCCAGCTGGAGCTCGGTGCTGATCCTGGCACTTCTGCTGAGCCCAGGAGAAGCGCCAATCAGCTGGAATGTTGCAGCATCTCCAGGGTCTTGCGCTTTAAATTCAGATGCTTGGTAGTGTCCCAGGGTCATGTGAAGTGACCAAAACCTGCTGCAACCACCCAGCAGACGGGGGGAATAAAAACCAAACCCTACCCCACCCCCGTTGCCAATCCTCAACAGAAATGCTCACAACAATGAAAACCTTGCACAGGAGGAAGAGCGCTGCCGGGTGGGCAGGAAGGTGTCTTGCTTGGCTGTGACTTGGGGGGGCATTTTTTTCAGTGTGCCATTGTAACTTTGAACAGTCACTAAGTGAACTGTTGTAAGTTGAGGACTACCTGTACTTTATCACTTTTTTCCTTTTGGGGGCGGGGTTTCAGGTTTTTGATATCTTGCTAGGCGACTGGTAGTACTTGGATATTGCCATATCCTAAAAGTGGTACAATGGGTGAAAGGGTTGAAAAGCCCTGTTATAGACAATGAGGATTCCTGGGAATCCAGGTCTTGCTCCACAGAAACTTAAAAGTTGGATGCAACACAGAGAGGAAGCAAGTTCCTGACTTTCATGCAAAGTCACAGCATGACTTAGTAAATGTCTTTCTGCAAAGCCCTTGTGCCCAATTGCATAACCTAGAGTGATGTTTGTTAGTATTGCATAAGGGTAAAGAAGGAAGCCAACAGAGAGTCTTGGAAGAGACTCGTATCCAGCCCTGGGTAAATTATGTAAATTAAGTCAGTTGTGAGAGACTTAAGAATGAGGAAAGAAATTCATCCCAAAGCAAACAAGCTGTCCAAATGAAAGAAAGTCCAATGGTGTAATGTCTTGCCTCAGCTATTCCCTCAAGAAAGCAGAGCTCTTGAATCAAGCAGCATTTCAAAAGGGCCTTTTATTGAGAGAACGTGATTGCAGAGACAACAGGCAGGATCTAAAGTTCCCGCACAAAACCATTAAGTTCAACCCCATTGTTCAAACCCCCTCCCAACTACCCAGTCCAGTAATGGCGAAACTTTTAGAGACCCAGGGCCCAAACTGCAACCCAAAACCCACTTATGTATCACCGGTGCGATGTGGGGCGTGGCCGCAGTGGTCATGGCAGACTGGGTGGCCGGAGGCAGGGCTGTGGGGGCCAGTCCTTTGCCATCTCCGCAGCACGGCACATGTGCCCACAGAGAGGGCTCTGACTGCCGCCTCTGGCACGCATGCCATAGGTTCGCCACCACTGACCCAGTCCATCGAGAGCCAATCCAGAGTTCTGAAGGTGTTGTGAGGACTCCGAGCTGAGAAAGCGATAACAAGTTGTTCTCAGACGCCATGAACCTTGGTTCTCTGAGACAAAGCAGATGGCCCCAGGTTCACCCCTCTTCCTTCCCAATTCCCAGGAAGATACATCAAAGCAAAAGAGGAACAAAACAAAATGGATGCATCATAGAAAAGCCCTGAGGTTCCCCGCTCCCACCAGGTCCCCATAAATCCTGACAGGGATTTATGGGGACCTGACAAACGGCTTCTGTTCCTCAGCCAGTGGAGAACATCTCCTCTCCTTCTTCCACGGCTCCAACAGGGCTTGCTAGGCCCTTGAAGAGGGACACTCTCTTGTTTGCTGGACTTAACTTGGCTGATCGTCCCAAAGGTGCTTTTTCAAGAGGCAACTGGACTTTCTTTGTTTTAGACTTTCTTTCTACAAAGCAAATCTAGTTGCCTCTTGAAAAAGCAACTCTGGGACAACCATGATCTGGACGATTGAGAATCTCCATACAGTAGTGGCCAAAATTGTGGAAATCTTTTGGGGAAAGTTCTCGAGCTGGATGTTGACAATCTTGCTGAGTGGGGAATTCTGGGAGGTGAAGTCCACATCTTCAAGTTGCCAAGGTTCAGAAACATGAGATAAAGGGTCTGTTCTGTAAGATGCCCTGGGGGGGGGGGGAGGGAACAGAAACCTCAGAGAACTGACATCAGTATTGTGGGAGAAGCCATCTTTGGAGGGTCACTTGATCAACCAAATATCTACAATAGTGGCCAAAATTGTGGAAACCTTTTGGGAAAAGTGTATTTTTGAGGTTTGATTTCTAACAACACCACTTTTTTTGGGGGGGGAGTAGTACCATAAAATTATATATCAATAGAAAGATATTTTAATCAAGAATGTAATGCAACATGGTTTGTTCAATGATCTGTACTGTATTCTATGAAAAGTTATAGCCAAATAACCAGAAAAAGGAAGCACAACTTGCTTAGGTTGATCTCAGGTAGCTTTCCCTCTTCTGATTGTAGCCAATGAGCACCAGTGTTTAGAAAGCCAATCAGGTGTCATCTTGTTTTAGCAATGAGCCAATCAGATCACAGTAGGATTCAATTATTGAAGTCATGCATTGAAGCTGAGAGGAAGACATTTGTCAGTGTGTTATGTGATCGCTAACAAGTTGGTTGGGGGTTTTTTTTGTGTTCTTTCATTTAGTGAGCTTGAAAAATGTAATAAAATTAAAGTAATGGTGCAAAAGAGTTGACTGGTTGCCCAGAAAGCGATGTAAAATAGTATTATTAAGTGAACAAGGCTACAGTTATAAAGAAATTAGAAGAAAAATTGGTGGAAACTTAACCAAAGGTGGCATTTCTACTGTACACTTTTCCCAAAAGGCTTCCACAATTTTGGCCACTATTGTATGACCTGGGTGACTGAGAATCTACATTGTCATTTATAGTGAGCTATGGTGTCAACCCCTGAACTTGAATGTCCAGCTCCTCCTACAGCAGTGGTTCTCAACCTTTTTAATGCCGCGACCCTCAACCGGTCGTAAGTCGAGGACTACTCAACCGGTCATAAGGCGAGGACTACTCAACTGGTGCAGCACCGTTTGCAGAATGGGACTTTTGGCGGGCTCAGCAGGGCAGAGACAGCCTGGACAATTCCTATTGGCTTTTGAAAGCCAATAGAATTAGACTCTATTCAAGAGAGTCTATTCTATTGGCTTTCAAAAGCCAATAGAACAGTGGTTCTCAGCCTTTCTAATGCCGCGACCCCATAATACAGTTCCCCATGTTGTGGTGACCCCCAACCACTTATACATCACCGGGTGCCAGGGGCGTGGCCAAAGAAAAGGGGGAAAAAATGGCGGACAGCCTTGTTTGGCGACCCCCATGAAATGGTCGTTCGACCCCAAATGGGGTCCCGACCCACAGGTTGAGAACCACTGCAATAGAATAAAAGGGAGGAGCACAGCTAAGGAAAAGGGGGGAAAATGGCGGACTGCGTTGTTTGGCGACCCCCGTGAAATGGTCGTTCGACCTCAAATGGGGTCCCGACCCACAGGTTGAGAACCACTGTCCTACAGTATCTGTCATCTCCATTTCTCATTCAAACCCTTGACTAATGTTGACCTCTTAAACCCCTGGAGGGTTTGACTCTGACCAGGGCTGACCAGGCCAAATGGATGTTCCAGGAGCAGTTGGCAATGGCACCGGAGGTGATTTGGGGGGGGGGGGGGAATTGTGTCTCCTTCTCATCCGGTGTGGGGATTGAGGCTGTTCAGTTCTGGTACTGCAATAGATTTTTCCACTGAATCAAAGGGACAATAGGTCATGACCGCTTCAACATTTGGGTGAGGCTTTCCCAGAAAATCCTAATTACTCATTCCCCTCCTGAAGTTCCCAAAATAGTTTTTACTTTTTGCTCGGTCAGAGGTGTTTAATACCTTTGCCTCAGTCAGCAAAATACTGTACAGGTAGTCCTCGACTTACGACCACAGTTCAGCCCAAAGTTTCTGTTGCTGACTGAGGCAGTTGTTAACACTTTACACGGATGTAAAGTGAATCTCGTTTCCCCCAGACCAGACCAGTCTTTTGTGACTCGTGGACTTCAACTCCCAGAATTCCTGAGCCAGCCATGCTGAGGGGAAAGGGAGAGGTTTCTAAGCTGAGCCAGGCTGGCTCAGGAATTCTGGGAGTTGAAGTCCACGAGTCATAAAAGAGCCAAGGTGGCCTGCCCCTGCCCATGGGGAAGCCAGTTTCACTTAACAACAAGGTGACTGACTTATCAGCTGCAATGTTTCACTTAACAGCTGTGGCGAGAAAGGTCATAAAATGGGGCAAAACTCACTTAGCAAACGTTTTGCTTAGCAATGGAAATTTCAGGCTCAGTTTGTGGTTGTAAGTCAAGGACTACCCATGAATCCTTTCAATCCAGAAGCACCCTTCGGTTAGATTTACAGGGGCTTCTGACACCGACACAGACCCCTTTAATTCAGTCTGCTTATAAAGGTGTGTGGCTGTATCCAAGTCTTTGCAGGGGCCAGGTTAACAACTACGGCAGTGGAGAGGTCATAAAATGGTGCAAAACACACAACCGTCTCGCTTAGCGACAGAAACGTTGGGCTCAGTGGTGGTCGTAAGTCGAGCACTACCTGTAGGGTACCCCTTTAGGTCTTGAGAAATGGATTGAACCCGGGCCTGGAAGGGCAGGGGGGTGGGGTGGGGTGGGGTGGAAGAGGAGATAGAGAAGAGCAAAATTTCTATTTGCACACCGAGTTCTTCCCCGCGCCTTGCTCAAGCCATGTCCCTATTTCTGACCTTGGCATGTTGCCTAGGGCAACATATAACAAAGGTCACACACACACACACAACTACACACACACACGGGCTGGTGGGCATCCAAGTTGTGCAAATAGACAGTGACACGCTGCTGCTGCCGGTAGAGAGGAATGTGAGCATGAGCAGGCTGGAGGGGTGTTGCCCTGTCTTGAGGGCAAGGAGTATAAAAGAGCTCGCCGGTTAGGGAAGGACGGAGCAGGAGAGGTGGAGAGCAATCTCATCTCCTCTGATCCACCAGCTTTGACTCCTCTACCAGCTAACCTCTCAACGCTATGGGGAAGAGCCAGATACTTGCAGGGGCCTGTCTTTTCGTCCTGGGCCTCTTCCTCCTTCCCGGGGGGACCTCGGCATCGACCCCAAAACCGTAAGTAGTCTCCCTGTTTCTTTCTTTGTTTCCCTCCCCCCAAAATGTTCATTCCGGTTTTTTTTCAGAAGGGAAAAGGGGGTTTGTCCGTTATTTCTTTATTTTCCCCCACCTTCCCTGCTGAAGCTCAAGGCAGCACGCATAGCCCTCCTTTTCCGTATTTAATAATATTTATTTATTTATTTTATGAGACTTGTATACCGCTTTAAGTGCAAGCACTCTCTAAGCGGTGTACACCAGTAAGCAATGGTTAATAACACTAAAAATATGAACCCTGGGGATATTCATGTCAAAGATAAAATGAACACCAAGGTAATAAAACTATAAAAAGTTTAATTTAAAAACGCCAAGCTTTCGCCGTCAACCTGCCGGCATCAGTTTTATTACCTTGGTGTTCATTTTATCTTTGACACCAGTAAGCAATGTATATATATATTTACATTGCCCCCAACAATCTGGGTCCTCATTTTACCTACTCCGGAAGGATGGAAGGCTGAGTCAACCTTGAGCCGGTGAGATTTGAAGCGCTGACCTGCTGAACACAGTCAGCTAAAGTGGCCTGCTATACTGCACTCTAACTGCTGCGCCACCTCGGCTCATTAATAATAATAATAATAATAATAATAATAATAATAATAATAATAATAATAATAAAGTTGGACGGGACCTTGGAGGTCATCTAGTCCAACCCCCTGCTCAGGCAGGAAACCCTACGCCATTTTGGACAAATGGCTGTCCAGTCTCTTCTTAAAAACTTCCAGTGTTGGAGCATTCACCTCTTCTGGAGGCAGGTTGTTCCACTGGTTAATTGTTGTAACCGTCAGGAAGTTTCTCCTTAGTTCTAGGTCAGGGGTGTCAAACTCAAGTTCATTGAGAGCCGCATCAACATTGCGGTCGCCCTCAGGGGGCCGGGTGGGTGCGGCCAGGGTGGGTGCGGCCTACTAGGTGGGTGTGGATGGAGTGGGTGTGGCATACTGGGTTGGCATGGCCACTCTACATAGTTCGCATCAAGGGGGCCTGTGGGGGCCTGGGCAGGAGTGGGACAGATCTGAGGGTCTCTGGCAGAGGGGGGTGGGACCGGGGCAAGCGCCAAGGCATGGTCCATTTCTTCATTCCTCACAAAGGGTGACACCTCCCCAGCATGCACCCAGAGGGCGGGGCCGACACAGCAGGAGCTGGTTCCTCGCTGTTTCCAGACGGCTTTGTGGAGCTAAGACTGAATGCGTTTCAGTATAGATGGCCACCACAAAATTGTACATTGGCTCCCGGCTGGCCTGGGCCAGAGCCAAGGCAGTGGGGGCCGTTCCCTCACTGTTTCCAGGATGGCTTCATGGGCCACATGAAACCATTTTGCGGGCCACATCCGGCCCCCGGGCCTTGTGTTTAACAGGTCTGTTCTAGGTTGCGTCTCTCCTTGATTAGTTTCCATCCATTACTTCTTCTCCTGCCTTCAGACACTTTGGAGAATTTTGTCCTCACCACAAGCCCTGTAAGGGAGGCTGGGTTAAGAAAGAGCAACTGGCTGGCTACCCAACGTCCTTTGGGGACTGGCCGAGGGTGGTTTTGAACCCGGGTCTCTTTGTCCTTGGCAGAATGTTATCCCATCCTGACTTTTTGTTTGCGCAAAACTGACTAATACAGACAGTCCTCGACTTACGACCACAATTGAGCCCCCAATTTTTTGTTGCTAAGCTAAGAGTTTTGCAGAACTGACTAATACAAGGCAGTCCTCAATTTACGGCCGCAATTGAGCCGAACATTTACGTCGCTAAGCGAGTTTTGCAAAACTGACTTAATATGGGCAGCCCTCGACTTATGACAACAATTGGTCCAAAGTCTGGGATGTGTCAGGCCAGGACTTGGTTGGAAAGGAATCTGCAGTCCTGGGGAGGAGGCTGAACTAAGCTTTTAACTCTTTCATGAAAGGAAACAAGCTGCTTGCTGACTGGGGAATGCTGGGAGTTGAAGTCCACGCATCTTAATATGGCCGAACTTCAGAAACAACGCTTCAAGTCTTTGCCTTGTTTTCAATTCAGGAACAAATTTTGTATCCCTCCCCACAAAGAATAGGTACAAGTAGTGCTCCATTTACAACCAAAATGGGGCCTACCCATTACAGTCCTAACTTGTGGCAGTCATATGACCGATCCAATGTTATGACCTTTTTGGGAGCGGCCACAGTCATTAAACAGAAGTAAATGTTGGTTTTGGGCAAAATGATTGTAAAAACATGGACGTGGGACTGCAAATTAAGGTGACCAACTTTTTTACGATGAAAAGGAGGACACAAATAAATCGAAGAAAAAAATATTATAAAAGCTGGCCCGGCCCATGGAAAGTCAACCGCCCGCTGCGCCCCCGCCCACAGCCGCCCCACCAGCACCGCTGCCCCATGTAGAGCGGGCCCCGCGGTTCCCAAAGCACCAGCCGCGCCGGCTCCAGGGGGCAGCCTGCCGTTAACACGCCCCGCCTGCAGCCGCCCCGCCAGCACCACCGCCCACCCTGTGCAGCCCTGTGTAGAGAGGGCCCTGTGGCTCCCACAGCACGGGGGGGGGGCAGCCGGCTGCTGCCGCTCCTCACACCCCCGCCCGCAGCATCTCTGCCGCCCCTGCCTCTTGTGCCCGCAACCATTATTGCCCTAGCAAAGCCAAAGATCAAGAGAAAGTTACCACTCCAGTCTCCTCCAGGTATCTTTGGGACTAACTAGGAGATGGCGTAGTTGGGTAGCAGGGAGGGGTGCAAAGTTCCTGCCAATTCACCTTTGCTGCAGGCAACTTGCATGTGCAAAGTTTGTCGGCCGGGTGTTTTGGTGCGCTCAGCAGCAATTCCTATTGGCTTTCAAAAGGCAATAGGGGGAGTAGCACAGCTCATGCAAAAGTTGGAAAAAAACCATCAAAAAAAGGTGCCGGAACACCGTTCTGAGCGTTCTGTGAGAAAAAAAAAGCCCTGCAGATTAGTCTTCAAATATCAAAAAGGAGGACATGTAGGAGGACAATTTTCAAGGGAGGACAGAACTCACAAAAGGAGGACTGTCCTCCCTAAAGGAGGACGGTTGGTCACCTTACTTTCGAGAAACAGGAATTACAAAGAAAGAGTTGTGAAAGAGTTGAACTAAAAGTAACCTGGGAATTTCTCACCCATTTTCCTGGCTTAAATTAAAGAGTTTTCTTGTCACGCTGTGTATGCGTAAGCTAAATACTCAGTGCAAAAATATAACACACCCAATACTCCTTTCTTCATCCTTCCTGCTGTCATCATCAGTGGGCTACGACTCACAAAATCTTCTGCAGTCACAAATCAGTTACAGCTAGTCCTCGACTTACGACAAGTTGCTTAGCAATAGACCCAAAGCCCAGATTAGAAGTTCTGACAGTAGCCTCCCCCCTGCAGTCACATGACCACACTCTGGGCATGGTCATGTGACTGCAGGGGGGAGGCTACTGTCAGAACTTCAAATCTGGGCCTTGGGTCTGTTGCTAAGCAACTTGTCGTAAGTCGAGGACTAGCTGTAATTGATTTGTTACTGCAGAAGATTTTGTGAGTCATAGCCCACTGATGATGACAGTAGGAAGGATGAAGAAAGGAGTATTGGGTGTGTTATATTTTTGCACTGAGTACGCATACACAGCGTGACAAAAAAAACCTCTTTAATTTAAGCCAGGAAAATGGGTGTTTCTCGAAAGGGTGCATGCCTTGAGTCAGCACCAGAAAGTCTAGAAGAGCTAAAAGGTTTCCTCCCAACTGGTTTTGCGAGTTTCACTCGCTATTTCAAGCAAGGGGGGGGGGGCTGGAAAACAAATCTCTGAAAAAAAGAAAAAAAAAATGAGGTTTGCACAGGCATGGATACATTAGGCATTTTCAACGCTGGTCTGCATTAACAGAGGGATAGAATCAAGATCACGTGAAGTATTAATACCACTTTACAGTGCCTTGGTAAGGCCACACTTGGAATACTGCATCCAGTTTTGGTCACCACGATGTAAAAAAGATGTTGAGACTCTAGAAAGAGTACAGAGAAGAGCAACAAAGATGATTAGGGGACTGGAGGCTAAAACATATGAGGAAAGGCTGCTGGAATTGGGTATGTCTAGTTTAACGAGGCCTTTGAGCTGTGGTGCTGGAGAAGACTCCTGCGAGTCCCTTGGACTGCAAGGCGTTCAAACCGGTCAGTCCTAGAAGAGATCAACCCCGACTGCTCTTTAGAAGGCCAGATCCTGAAGTTGAAACTCAAGTACTTTGGCCACCTAATGAGAAGGAAGGATTCACTGGAGAAGAGCCTAATGCTGGGAAAGATTGAGGGCAATAGAAGAAGGGGACGACCGAGAATGAGATGGCTGGATGGAGTCACTGAAGCAGTAGGTGTGAATTTAAATGGACTCCAGAAGATGGTAGAGGACAGGAAGACCTGGAGGAATGCTGTCCATGGGGTCGCGACGGGTCGGACACGACTTCGCAATTAACAATAATAACAAGTTTAACGAAGAGAAGGATGAGGGGGGACATGATAGCAGTGTTCCAATATCTCAGGGGCTGCCCCAAAGAAGAGGGAGTCAAGCTATTCTCCAAAGCGCCTGAAGGCAGGACAAGAAGCAATGGATGGAAACTAATCAAGGAGAGAAGCAACCTAGAACTAAGGAGAAACTTCCTGACAGTTGGAACAATTAACCAGTGGAACAACCTGCCTCCAGAAGCGGTGAATGCTCCAACACTGGAAGTTTTTAAGAAGAGACTGGACAGCCATCTGTCCAAAATGGTGTAGGGTTTCCTGCCTGAGCAGGGGGTTGGACTCGATGACCTCCAAGGTCCCTTCCAACTTTATTATTATTATTATTGTTGTTGTTATTATTATTATTATTATTAAACACCTGAAGGGCTGTGACTTAGAGAACGAAGCCAATCAGCTTTCTCTGTGCTAATACGGGTAGTCCTCAACTTACAATAGTTTACGACAGCACTGGAAAAAGTGACTTGTGACCATTTTTCAAACTTACGACTGTTGTAGCCTCCCTATGGCCACCTGATCAAAATTCGGATGCTTGGCCACCGACTCATATTTGTGACCTTTGTAGTGTCCCGGGGTCGTGTGATCACGTTTTGTGACCTTTGGGTGAGCAAAGTCAATGGGGAAGCCAGATTCACGTGACAGTTGTGTTCCTAACTTAACAACTGCAGTGATTCACTTAACAACTGTGGTAAGAAAGGTCGTAAAATGGGGCCAAACTCACTTAACCAATGTCTCACTTAGCAACAGAAATGTTGGTCTCAATTGTGCTTGTAAGTCGAGGATGACCTGTAGCTAGGACTCACACCAGCCCAGGGGATTTCGACTCCAAAAGACTTCACAACTATAGGACCACAACATGCCAGCTCAGTGGTCCTCAACCTGTGGGTCGGGACCCCATTTGGGGTCGAATGACCATTTCAGGGGGGTCGCCAAACAACGCAGTCTACCATTTTTTCCCCCTTTTCCTTAGCTGTGCTGCTCCCTTTTATTCTATTGGCTTTTGAAAGCCAATAGAATAGACTTTCTTGAATAAAGTCTAATTCTATTGGCTTTCAAAAGCCAATAGGAATTGTCCAGGCTGTCTCTGCCCTGCTGAGCCCGCCAAAAGTCCCATTCTGCAAACTGTGCTGCACCAGTTGAGTAGTCACCGAGTTGAGTAGTCCTCGACTTACGACCGGTTGGGGGTCGCGGCATTAAAAAGGTTGAGAACCACTGTGCTAGCTGGACCCTGTTGGATACACTGAACTAGATCACCACAGGATAACCTTTATTGTCATTTTTTTTACTGTGGGCCCAACGGCACACATCAAAAATGAAATTTAGTTGCCCGCTCTCAGTGAACACATACATGACGCACACCTAAACATACTATGTACAACATATGTATAGATCGGCTCCCCTACATATACATAACAAACAAAATTAAATATGTCCATCTTGAATATATAACAGATATATTCGGATTATTTTAGTGACTTTTCTACACCAGCAGGGAAAGTTATACAGGTAGTCCTTGATTTACAACCCACAACTGAGCCCCAAGCTTCCCTTGCTAAGCGAGACAGTTGTTAAATGAGTTTCGACCCATTTTACCACTTTTCTTGCCACGGCTGGTAAGTGAATCACTGCAGTTGTTAAGTTAGTAACACAACTGTCACGTGAATCTGGCTTCCCCATTGACTTTGCTCGTCAGAAGGTCGCAAAAGGCTATCACATGACCCTTGGGAGACCGTCGTAAATGTGAGTCCGTGGCCAGCGTCCAGCTACAGGGATTGCCGCAACGGTCATAGGTGTGAAAACTGGTCATAAGTCCCTTTTTTTCAGTGCTGTTGTAACTTTGCACAGTCACTAAGCAAATGATTGTAAGTCGAGGACTACATGTGTCAACTTTCAAGTCTCTGGCAATAGGATGTGATGAAAAGTGAGATGGGCCAAATTTCCCCTTTTAGTAAGGATAAACTCTTTAGCAGCAAATACACATTTATTTATTTATTATTTCTAAAATTTATATGCCGCCCAATCCCAGGGACTCAGGGCAGCGTACAAAATTTAAAATAATAATATGACAATAAAACAATAAAATAAATACATTCATACAGCGTGTCCGATCATATCCCGCCCCCCCCCGGGGACATCAGCCCCAGGCCTGCCAGAACAGGAGAGTTTTAATGGCTTTCTTAAAGGCCGGCAGGGTGGGAGTAGTTCGAATCTCGGGGGGAAGTTGATTCCACCAGTCGGAGCCACCACAGAAAAGGCCCTTCCCCGAGGGCCTGCCAGCCGACATTGTCTGGCTGACGGGACCTGAAGGAGGCCCAATCTGTGGGACCTCACCGGTCTCTGGGAACTGTGCAGGATTGTCTGGGACGCTAACCGTCCCCTTCACGACCTGTTTTCCTTGTTCCCTTCTGGGAGGAGGGGGCTCCGTGGTATCCGAAGCAGAACATCCAGATCCAGTCCAATTTTGTTCCATACAGCATCGATCTTGTGAATTCTCAAGCTTCCTTTTTCCACTCTTGTGTTCAAAATGGACAGTGATTAACATATATGTATCTATGTCTTAAGTGGTTTTTTTTTCGATACACCCGGTTGGCCCAAATATGGGAAGAAGAAATCTTTTGCCTGCATCAGCCCCAATCTAGGGCTATCCCCAGGCAGCAGTTGCTACTGCAGCAATCGTTTTTATGTTAAATTTGGATTGCTAACACAGAGCGAATTAGCTCGAAATAGCTATACCAGTCTCCCTTTAGCTCTTTGTTAGCAATCCAGATTTACATACGTGTGTGTGTGTGTGTGTGTGTGTGTGTATATAATATATATATATGTAGGTCTTTGATTGTTCGGGTTTTCTCCCACGTAAAAATTGGAAGTGTCTTGGCGACGTTTCGACGAAACGTCGCCAAGACACTTCCATTTTACGTGGGAGAAAACCCGAACAACCAAAGACCTACATACAAATACCCGCGAAAACCTCAGAAAACAATATATATATATATATATATATATATATATATATATATATATATATATATATATATTACCTTGAATGAACACCCTGTCAGCCCAGATATGGGAGAAAGAATCTTCTTTCTTTTCTTTTCTTTTGCCTGTATCAGCTCAATCTAGAGCCATCCACAAGCAGCAGTCACTAACTGCGACATCATTTTACATTTTTGTTAGCAAAAACTATATATATATATATATATATAATATATATATATATATATATATATATATATATTCGTCATCCTCAGGCTGGTGTTTTCAGCTTTGTGCTTCGAGCAGCAATGTGTGATTGTAGCTGTTTCCTCCTTTTAACTGCCAGTTAACTGATTGGATGAGAGCTTGTCTGTATATATGTAAGTCTTTGGCTAGCAGCTCGAAGCACAAAGCTGAAAACACCAGCCTGAGGATGACGAATGGGACTTCGTTGAAACGTCGCCAAGACACTTCCAATTTTACGCGGGAGAAAACCCGAACAACCAAAGACCTACATACAAACACCCGCGAAAACCTCAGAAAACATATATATATATATGTGAACAAAAGTGCTCGAGAGAACGACAGAAGAAATCTTTACTCTGATTCCCCCTCCCACCTATCAGCTGTTCAGCAGGGAATGCTAGCACAGTCTAGGAACCACGTGCAGACGTCTATGGAACCCGTTTGAATCACCTTGTTAGAAACGGTCTCTCAGCCCTGAAGATGTTGGGGAGTTTTCCCAACGAAAGCTTGGCAACCTTTTAATATAGTAAAATACTTTAATTAAAGTATTTTAACTTTAAACTCTCCTGGTGAACGCGCTTTATTCATTTCATTTATAATTATGCCCGGGAGTCGCATTTTCACCATCATTATTGAATATATATATATATATATATATATATATATATATATATATATATATATATATGTATGTTTTCTGAGGTTTTCGCGGGTGTTTGTATGTAGGTCTTGCTGCTCGAAGCACGAAGCTGAAAACACCAGCCTGAAGATGACGAATGGGACTTCGTCGAAATGTCGCCAAGACACTTCCAATTTTACGCGGGAGAAAACCCGACCAACCAAAGACCTACATATATATATATATATATATATACACACACACACACACACACATACATATCTATATATCTATATATCTTTATCTATATCGATATAGATATATAGATATAGATCTATCTATCTATCTATCTTTGCAACCACAATTGGAATGCGCCACTCATATGGTAGGGTGGCTGTCTTCATTCTCTGGTCCTCTGACTGTTTCTGTTTTCCCCTTCCCAGGGAATACCTGGTTTTGGTGCCTGTTGTTGTCCCCACGGAAACCTCCAGGAAGATCTGCGTCCAGCTGAACCACCTGAATGAGTCGGTGACGCTGAGCATCACCCTGGAATACGGGTTGCAGAACAGGAGCCTCCTAAGGGAAGAAGTCTCCAAGAAAGATTTATTCCAGTGCACCGAGTTCCAGGTGAGACCCTTTTGGGAGCTCTTGTGTTTGTGACTCTGAGCAAGGAGATTGACAGAATGTCCATGTATGAAGTACAGTAGGAAAAAGAATCACCAGATTTAAAAAAATAGTTTAGATATACTTTTTGGTACAGTGGAAGATGATTTTTTTTCCATCATGATTTTACATGACACTACTACAGTATGACTGTGCTACTGTGTTAATAGCAACATCAACAATACGTAGAGCCATCAAACCAGCAATAGGAAATTTAATGTTTATTTGGAACTTTGGCAACTGTATTCACCGAGTTGTATGAATAGATCTCTTCTCTTCTCTCCCCTCCCTCTTTTTCCCTCTCTTCTCCTTCCCTCCCCTCCTCCCCTCCTCTCCTCTCCCCTCCTCTCTCCTCCCCTCTTCTCTCTCCTCTCCTCTCCTCCTCTCTCCTCCTCTCCTCTCCTCTCTCCTCTCCTCTCCTCTCCTCTCCTCTCCTCTCACCTCCCCTCTCCTCTCCCCTTCCCTCTCCTCCTTTTTTCCCTTTCTTCCCCTCCCCTCCTCCCCTCCTCTCCCCTCCTTTCCTCTCCTCTCCTCTCCTCTCCCCTTCTCTCTCCTCTCCCCTCCCCTTCCCTCCTCCCCTCTCCTCTCCCCTCCCCTCCCCTCTCCCCTTCCCTCTCCTCCTTTTTCCCTCTCTTCCCCTCCCCTCCCTCCTCTCCCCTCCTCCCCTCTCTCCTCTCCCCTTCCCTCTCCTCTCCCCTCCTCTCCCCTCCTCCCCTCTCTCCTCTCCCCTTCCCTCTCCTCTCCCCTCCTCTCCCCTCCTCCCCTCTCTCCTCTCCTCTCACCTCCCCTCTCCTCTCCCCTTCACTCTCCTCCCCTTTTCCCTCTCTTCCCCTCACCTCCTCCCCTCCTCTCCTCTCCTCTCCTCTCCTCTCCCCTTCCCCCTCCTCTCCTCTCCTCTTTTCTCCTCTCCTCTCCTCTCCCCTGCCCTCCTCTTCTCTTCTCTCCTCTCCTCTCCTCTCCCCATTCTTTGGCTGCCTTGGCCAATTAACAGACACAGTACTCATCTCTAGAAAAACTAAAGTCCCTCCTTCCTCCTCTCTCCAGATCCCCAAATGGGAAAGGTCCTTCCACTCCCACGTAGCGCTTTTCACAGTAGAGGTAACAGGAGCAACCCTGAGGTACCTAAATCGGAAGAGAGTATATATTGAAAATCAGGAGAGCCTCACCTTTGTTCAGACCGATAAACCCATCTACAAGCCAAATCAGAAAGGTAAGAGCATGGCTCTTGAAAGGGAATAACTCTCTGCCAATTGTGTCATGATCTCAGTTCAAGATTTTGTACTTCTTGGGTATCTAACAATGGTCCTGCTTTTAGCTGGGGTGGGGGGATGTAAACCCATAAGCCCCACACAGCCCCCCTGGTCCCATGTTCCTGGCCGTGACGTCCCTTTTGTGGTGCACATTGAGGCAGCCTTAATGAGCCAAAAAGTACATTTATATATTAAATGACTTAGCCCAGTGGTTCTCAACCTGTGGGTCGGGACCCCATTTGGGGTCGAACGACCATTTCACGGGGGTCGCCAAACAACGCAGTCCGCCATTTTTTCCCCCTTTTCCTTAGCTGTGCTACTCCCTTTTATTCTATTGGCTTTTGAAAGCCAATAGAATAGACTCTCTTGAATAGAGTCTAATTCTATTGGCTTTCAAAAGCCAATAGGAATTGTCCAGGCTGTCTCTGCCCTGCTGAGCCTGCCAAAAGTCCCATTCTGCAAATGGTGCTGCACCAGTTGAGTAGTCCTCGACTTACAACCGGTTGTGTAGTCCTCGACGTACGACCGGTTGGGGGTCGCGGCATTAAAAAGGTTGAGAACCACTGACTTAGCCCTTTATAACTGAGTCACAACTGAAAGAGCCAATAAGCCCAAGCAAGTAAATAAGTGGATGGATGGATGGATGGATGGATGGATGGATAGAGATATTAGTAATAGTAGTAAAGTTGGAAGGGACCTTGGAGGTCATCTAGTCCAACCCCCTGGTCGGGCAGGAAACCCTACACCATTTCGGACAAATGGCTGTCCAGTCTCTTCTTAAAAACTTCCAGTGTTGGAGCATTTACTGCTTCTGGAGGCAAGCTGTTCCACTGATTAATTGTTCTCACTGTCAGGAAGTTTCTCCTTAGTTCTAGGTTGCTTCTCTCCTTGATTAGTTTCCACCCGTTGCTTCTTGTCCTGCCTTCAGGTGCTTTGGAAAATAGCTTAATTCCCTCTTCTTTATGGCAGCCCCTGAGATATTGGAATACTGCTATCATGTCCCCCCTTGTCCTTCTCTTCGTTAAACTAGACATACCCAATTCTAGCAACCGTTCCTTATATGTTTTAGCCTCCAGTCCCCTAATCATCTTTGTTGCTCTTCTCTGTACTCTTTCTAGAGTCTCAACATCTTTTTTACATCGTGGTGACCAAAACTGGATGCAGTATTCCAAGTGTGGCCTTACCAAGGCATTGAAGAGTGGTATTAATACTTCACGTGATCTTGATTCTATCCCTCTGTTAATGCAGCCTAGCACTGTGTTGGCCTTTTTGGCAGCTGCAGCACACTGCTGGCTCATATTTAAGTGATTGTCTACTAGGACTCCGAGGTCCCTCTCACAGTTACTACTATTGAGCATGGTGCCACCTATGCTGTACTTGTGCATTTGGTTTTTCTTGCCTAAATGTAGAACCTTGCTTTTTTCACCATTGAATTTCATTTTGTTAGTTAGTGCCCAGTGTTCAAGTCTGTCCAGATCCTTCTGTATCTGAAGCCTGTCTTCTGGAGTGTTGGCTATTCCTGCCAGCTTGGTGTCATCTGCAAATTTGATGAGTTCCCCATCTATCCCTTCATCCAATCGTTGATGAAGATGTTGAAGAGTACTGGGCCCAGAACAGAGCCCTGGGGCACCCCACTACACACTTCCCTCCATATAGATGCAGTTCCATTGAGGACCACTCGCTGAGTACGGCCGGTCAGCCAGCTACGGATCCATCTGGTGGTGGTTCTGTCTACCCCACATTTTTCTATCTTGTCAAGTAGTAGGTTGTGATCTACTTTATCAAATGCCTTACTGATAGATAGATAGATAGATAGATAGATAGATAGATAGATAGATAGATAGATAGATATAGACAGACAGACAGACAGACAGACAGACAGACAGATAGATAGATAAATGTATTAACTCAACCCTAAAGAGGTTAGGGGGGATCATCACTGGCTGGGGATTTCTGGGAGGTGGAGCCCCCAAATCTGAAAGCTGCCTGAAAGATTAACAGTTGATTTTTTTTTTTATTGTGGATCTTTATTGCCAAATAATATTAAGCAGGATTCATGGTTGAAAAAAAAAGAGTTCATGTGGCAGCGATGCAAAACATTTCAGGTCTCTTTTTCCTGGTTATTTTTTCCCTGAATCTGGAAATAAAAATAATATTATAATAATTTATGGAAGTATGCTGCCTGATGCTAAATGGCTCTGGGCAGCTCACAACTATTTTATTTTATTTAGGGCTTACACAAGGAGGTCTTTCCACCTCAGAGAAGAGAGTAATTGTGCCGCTGATTTTGAACAATTCTCGCTGGCGTGGTGCAAAATAGTGGATTGGGGAAGACATCGGTCTTACCGTATAGAGGAAGAGTGGCATTAAAATATAACATGATTCAATATAATACTTTTTATATCTATGGATATTCTCAATCATCTAAGCCAGGGGTAGGCAACCTGGGCTCTTTTATGACTCGTGGACTTCAACTCCCAAAATTCCTGAGCCAGCCATGCTGAGGGGAAAGGGAGAAGTTTGCAAGCTGAGCCAAGCTGGCTCAGGAATTCTGGGAGTTGAAGTCCACGAGTCATAAAAGAGCCAAGGTTGCCTACCCCTGATTTAGGTCATGGTTGTCACAAAAATGTTTTTTCCAAAAAGCAACTGGATTTTCTTGGGTTTTTTTTTCTTTTAAAGACTTTTTGCTTCTCATCCAAGATGCTTCTTCAATGCTGAAGAATTTTTATCCCTATTAAAATGGTTTTCTTCTTGCTTTCTCAGTTCTGTTTCGTGTTGTCTCTCTGACCAAGGAATTCATTCCCGTCAACGAGAAGGTAGGTTCCGCTTTGCAGCAATTTTTTTTTTGAGATAGTTGTTCAGTTCATGAGAATATTTGGGGATTATGTGAATGGAGACACTTCGCTTGAAAGTTTGTTAATCGGTAACCTCTGTGTTAAAGTTCTGTTTATCCAGTGGGGCCTCGGAAACAGAATCCAAGGAAGGGTATTCTCCAATGAAACTGGGTCTGTGCCATCATCCAGGCCAGGGTAGGCAACCTTGGCTCTTTTATGACTCGTGGACTTCAACTCCCAGAATTCCTGAGCCAGCATGGCTCAGTTTGGAAACCTCTCCCTTTCCCCTCAGCATGGCTGGCTCAGGAATTCTGGGAGTTGAAGTCCATGAGTCATAAAAGGGCCAAGGTTGCCTACCCCTGATCTAGGGCAAGGTGTAGTAGATATGGTCTATCTCAGCCTCCCCTACTTTGATTCCTTCCAGATGTGTAGGGACTTCCAAACTCTAGTCTATTCTAGGATTATAATCCTGGAATTTCGAAAATTTGACAAGTAACAGATTTGAGGGCACTTCCACTTAGGTCAGGGGGTAAGGAACTAGGGCCCTTTTGTGAACTGTGGACTTCAACTCCCAGAATTCCTGGCTGGCTCAGGAATTCTGGGAGTTGAAGTCCACAAGTCATTAAAGGGGCAGTAGTACCTCACCTTTGACTTAGGTAGACCTTCAGCGCTTCTCTCCCATGGGTCAACAAGACGGGAATTAAACCAATTTAAAAAGTCCCTTTCCAGATTTCAACCCCTATTTTCCGAGGTGGGTGGGACTTCTGTCCAGATCACGATCCATGTGGCCACTTGTGGGTTGTCTTCCTTTTCGGGATAGGATATACAGTTAGTCCTCCTAACAACAGTCACTGAAACCAGCAAGTCTGTTGCTAAGTATTACAGTTGTAAAGTGGGACATTATGTGGCCGTGCTGACTTAAAGCAGCAATTTAGACAGCCCCAGTTGCCATCGTTAAGCAGATCGCAGTTGCAGTCATTAGGCTCAATGTCCCACGATCACCATTTGCAACCTGCAGTTGGCTTCCCAGCTTGTCAGAAGCTGGCTGTGAAGGTCGCAAAAGGCAGTCATGTGACCGTGGGACGCTACAACTCGTAACTGCGAGTCAGGTGACAAGAGCCTGAATGGCGATCATGTAACTACAGGGACGCCGCAAGAGTTGCAGTTATGGGGTGCAGTCGTAAGTTTCCTTTTTCAGTGCGGTTGTAACTTCAAACCGTCACTGAATGAGTAGCTGTTGAACAAGGGCTAGCTGCATATACTTTGGGGAAAGGTTAACGCTGTTTAAAAGCAAAAGCATCCTAATGCACATATACGTAGGCCGAGACATTCCTAGAAGTCAAGAGGGCGGTTGCGACTGGGTGATTGAAGCTGAACTCCTTTTCACGTGCGCCAATGGTGCAAGTGAAAAGGGCGGTGCCTCCATTGCACAATCATGACCACACAACTTGGACTTTCCTGATCCCCGCCCACCCTGTTTCCTGCAGGTTCTAAAGGAGACCTCCTATCACGGATGGTCCTCGTGGAGCATGTCTAGATAACCAATATTTCTTCAGAGATTTCCAAATCTGTGGGTGATGAAATTGTGTCACTGGATGAACTCACCTGTGGTTGCGGGGGGGGGGGGAGAAAGGATCCACCCATTGTCCCTTATGGACCTTGAATGTCTGTCCCCAAGACCTGCTTAGTGGTCCTACTGTAGCCATGGACACATCCTCCTTGACGGCATGAGACCATGTCACAGAGAAGTAAAGGAAGGGCCAATATATGTCTTGAAGTAATCTAGCTCAGTGTTTCCATAGCTTGTGGACTTCAATTCCCAGAATGCTTAGCAGTGGCCATGCTGGCTGGAGAATTCTGGGAGCTGAAGTTCACTCATCTTAAACTTCACTGATGTATGAATCAGTGTAGTGATTCCCTTAAGTGTGGCCAGGTTTAAAAATTCCACTCTAATTCATTCCTGTTTCTGATTTTGTTTTAAATGTGTTTTATTCCACAGTTCCCCTTGATCTACATTGAGGTAAGTAACTAAGTCTTCTTCCCATGTAATTGTTAACAGATTAACCAATCACAGGACCCTCCAATCAGGTCACTTTTCCAAAGACTTGGACTTTAATTCCCTTATCACTCCAGCGGGGTCATCAAGGTCAAGATGACACCCACCCCTGTGCAACTGAAGCCCCGCCCCCTCTTCCTATGTTTTATTTGCATAAATCAATAAACTACCTTACTGCGTCGTAACAGGTGAAATGAAATTAGGATCGCCCTCTCTATACACCACCATAAAGTTCTAGTAGCATATAGTATATAGAAATCATTCATTCATTGGCATCCTTCAGTCTCGAGAGACTATAGTATTGTGCTCTGGGAAGAGGTCCTAAGGCAGCATCTGGTGTGGCTAAAAAGGCCAATTCGAGAATGGCAGTCCCTTCCACACTGGGGGGCAGATACAATCTGTCCCCTGTCCAGCCCCCAGATTTCGCTGGTTCCGGGACTGCCTCTTTGCCTCAGCCTGCCGCGCAAGTGTCTCTCCGAATTGGAGAAGGCCATGCTGAGCCTTTAGCCTCCAGGCTGAACGATCAGAGGTCAAGGATTCCCAGCTGTTAATGTCCATTCCCAAGGCCTTCAGGTCCCTCTTGCAGATATCCTTATATCGCAGCTCAGGTCTCCCTCTGGGGCGCTTTCCCTGCACTAGTTCTCCGTACGGGAGATCTTTCGGAATCCGACCATCAGCCATTCTCACGACATGCCCAAGCCAGCGTAGACGTCGCTGTTTCAATAGCGTATATATAGAAATACCCCTTAGACCAGCGGTTCTCAACCTATGGGTCGCGCCATTTTTTTCCCCCTTTTCCGGCGGGTGCCTTACCTCCCTTGGGCTGGGCCAGCTGGTGGCCCAGCCGGTGGTCGGCCTGCTCCATCTCTGCCGCTTGCCAACTACGCCTCGGCCGGCGCAGGGGGCGGCACCACGCCTGCGCGGCGCTCCCGGGCAGGGAAAGTCCTCGACGTACGACCGGTTGGGTAGTCCTCGACCTATGACCGGTTTAATCCTCAACTTACAACCGGTTTAGTCCTCGACTTACAACCGGTTGGGGGTCACGGCATTAAAAAGGTTGAGAACCACTGCCTTAGACTTATATACCGCTTCGTAATGCTTTACAGCCCTCTCTAAGCAGTTTACAGAAGCAGCATATTGCCCGCCAACAATCTGGGTCCTCGTTTTACTGACCTCGGAAGGAGGGCAGGCTGAAGTCAGCCTTGAGCCAGTGAGGATCGAACTGCTGGCAGTTGGCAGAATTAGCCTGCAATGCTGCATTCTAACCATTGTGCCACCACGGCTCTTATATAGAAGCAACAATTCGATTCTTGTCCAGGAGTTTCCCAACCTTGGCAGCTTTAGGACTCTTGGACTCTAATTCCCAGAATCCCCCAAGCCAGCATGGAGAAATTCTGGGGGTTGAAGACCACACGTCTTAAAATTGCCAAGGTTGGGAAACCCTGTGCTTGTCACTTCTTATTCAGCCTTCAGATCAAGGTTGCTGATTGCCTTGCACCCTAAGGAGAAAAAAACAAACAAACAAGGCAATCGATTTGCTGCGGGATTAAAATGACAGCATGGAAAATTCTTCCAAGCATCTGAGGGCAGGACAAGAAGTAACGCTGGAATGCTTATCAAAGAGGGATGTAACCTCATGACAGCAGTCTTCCAATATCTCAGGGCCCGCCTCAAAGAAGAGGGTGTGTATGTGTGCATGAAACTGTTCTCCAGAGCACCTCAAGGCAGGACATGAAGCAATGGATGGAAACTAATCAAGGAGAGAAGCAATCTCTAGGAGGCATTAATCAGTGGAACGACTTGCCTCCAGAAGTTGGGAAAGCTCCAACACTGGAAGTTTTTCAGAAGGCAAATGGACAACCATTTGTCTGAAACGGTATAGGTCAATGATGGCGAACCTTTTAGAGACCGAGTGCCCGAACTGCAACCCAAAACCCACTTATGTATCATCGGGTGCTGGGTGGGCGTGGCCCATTGGGTGGGCATGGCTTCGGTGATAATGGCAGATTGGGTGGGACTAAAAAGTTCAGTCAATTCCAACTTTACGAGATCTTTTTTTCCCCCCGCGAGAAGTTGAAATTGATTGATTGATTGAATCTCTTTTTTTTTTTGCACACGGCGGCGGAGGTCTAAAGCGAAAAGATTTTATAAAACCCAGCTGAAGGCCTAGGACTGGGGCAGTGGCACGCGTGCCCACAGAGAGGGCTCTGCGTGCCACCTGTGGCACACGTGCCATAGGTTCGCCACCACGGGTATAGGTTTTCCTGCCTGAGTAGGGGGTTGGACCAGAACAGGGCTTTTCAACCTTTTCACAGATTGTACTCCTTTTAGGACGTGACGATATTCGAGTACCACCAGTGCTTAGCAAGATGTCAAAAACTTGATGACTTAAAAAAAAAAGGAGGGGGGAGGTCAATGGAATCACTTGCCTCGAGAAGTTGTGAATGCTTCAACACTGGGGGTTTTAAAGAAGAGATTGGACAACTGTTTGTCTGAAATAGTATAGGGTGGTTGAACAGGGGTTGGAATTGGGTATGTCTAGTTTAATGAAGAGAAGGACGAGGGGGGACATGATAGCAGTATTCCAGTATCTCAGGGGCTGCCCCTAAGAAGAGGGAGTCAAGCTATTCTCCAAAGCACCTGAGGGCAGGACAAGAAGCAACGGATGGAAACTAACCAAAGAGAGAAACAACCTAGAACTAAGGAGAAACTTCCTGGCAGTTCGTAACAATTAATCAGTGGAACAACCTGCCTCCAGAAGTTGGGAATGACAAAGGCTGTGTAGAAACAAGGTGAAGCCTTATTTAAGGTTGTAGAAATTTAGAAACTCAGCCAAGCCAAATTCTTTGTGTGTGATAGCAAAATGTGGACATCGACTCACGGAAATGAGATGTTGGGCTAGTTACAAAACTTTTTAGTCAGCTGTTCATTAAATATTTGAAATGATTTCTGCAATATTTGATCTGCTGTCTTGTCTGTCTTATTTTCACAAGCTGCTGGTACCTCAGATAACCTATCGATGGGCTATCTTAAGCAAAGAGATTTTTGATGCTGAGAGCAAACAGAAAAGCAAAATGGCATTAAATATTAACCGTAGCAGCCACATTGAACAGACTTACTTGGCAGTAAATTCTCTTTAAATAAGCCGTGGGCATTTGATGGCCGAAAGCCCAATTTAATGTTTAGGGCATAGATAAGATTTAGAAGTGATGATGCAAAATAGACTGAGGGGTTTTTTTCCCTCCTTCTTAAAAAGGGAATAAAACTTTTCCTTTTCTTAACTTGGGAGTGTTTATCATTAATATCCACTTTTGGAATTTATATACTGATCTCCCAAGGTCAATTACTAGAAGTAGCCAAATTGCTAGAATTTGGAAATATGGATGCTTGGTTATTCACAAAGGCAGGAGTGGGCAACTATGGCCCCTTTAAGACCTGTGGTTGTCAACTCCCAGAATTCCTGAGGCAGCCATGCTAGTTCAGGAATTCTGGGAGTTGAAGTCCACAGATCTTAAAGGACTCACAGTTGCCCACCTCTGCGAAGATGACAAAAGTTGAATTTGCTTTAATCGTCACTTTTACCCGTTTGTTGTAGATAGATGGGTTGCAAAACTTTTTTCATTATTATTTCAGAAGGAATGCTAATTCTGTTTAATTCTGGTGGGCTATTAGAAGCTGAATGAAAAAGTGGTTCTGATTCATTCATTCTTTAAAAAAAAATGCATACTACTTTTATGAGTAGTATTCAGGGGCTGTCTCATTCATACAACAGAACGAGCACAATCAGCAGACTAAATTGAGAATAAGCCAATAATTAAAGCACTTGTGAGAAAATCTTTTAAATGTGTCAAGGCTGAAGCACACCTATATTCCATTTCGCTTTCAGCTTGACAGTGAAAGGGGGGGGGGAATGGAATCCAAATATCTTTGAGTCCTGTGAGACTTTTCTCCCACCTCAAGGACACACCTAGCTGGTTCCCATAACACAGGGGTCTTCAAACTTGGCCCTTTTATGACTTGTGGACTTCAACTCCCAGAATTCCTCAGCCAGGCACACGTGCCTGGCTGAGGAATTCTGGGAGTTGAAGTCCACAAGTCATAAAAGGGCCAAGTTTGAAGACCCCTGCCATAACAAAATGACTAAAATTGGATGTAATGGACGGAGGGTGCCTCATGGGAGCACAAATTAACTATGCTTTTTTTCTGTCTGGGAAACCCAGAGCTGGTTTCGCTTCTTTCTTTGCAAATGTAGTATATTCAGTAAAGTTTTGTACTCTTGAAAAAAAAATGTCCCAGGAGTTTCTTTTTCTGGATTCGCCAAATGGACAGCTGACAACATGCTTTTCAGAATCAAGTGGCACTCCAAGGCAATGGGTCCTTTAAGGCTTGATTAACAGAATTGGGGCCTTGGAGGTCTTCTAGTCAAATCCCCTGCTCAGGCAGGAAACCCTATACCATTTCAGACAAATGGCTGTCCAATCTCTTCTTTAAAACTTCCAGTGTTGGAGCATTCACTGCTTCTGGAGGCAGGTAGTTCCACTGGTTAATTGTTCTAACTGTCAGGAAGTTTCTCCTCAGTTCTAGGTTGCTTCTCTCCTTGGTTAGTTTCCATCCGTTGCTTCTTGTCCTGCCTTCAGGAGCTTTGGAGAATAGCTTGACTCCCTCTTCTTTGTGGCAACCCCTGAGATATTGGAACACTGCTATCATGTCCCCCCCTTGTTCTTCTCTTCATTAAACTAACCTTGAAGAAAACTTTGATTAACTTTGAACAAATGGGCAGAAAACCGAGCACCTAGGATAGATTAGAGATTTTTGGATTGTTTGGAATTAGCAACTGTGGGGCCAATGACATGGACTTTGTAATTATGTTAGCTAACATAGTTACTTTATATTTTACTTTGTACTTTAAACCTAAGGACCCTATATGTTGATTTGACTTCCTTTTCTCTCTTTCAAAATGGTGATTTATAAAACCATTACACTGGAATGTAGGAAACTGTCTTATCCTATGGTTGTGTGGATTGATTAGATAGCTTCTAACATCCCTTAACTGAAAAGATAAAAGCTATAGAAGCACGGCTAGATACTATTTCCTGATAAGAAAAAGTTTCTTCGTGTCAACTGGCATTCGGTTATCTAATTTCTAACAATCTTTGTGGTTGATTTACTGTGAAAAGGAAGGGTTAGTTTTGTCTCGTCCATCCAACTTTCCTCTTTCATTTTTTCATTGGTAATGTTAAAAGGGGATGTAAGCTTAGGATCTTTGAATGAGAGGAATCCCCTTTGTCTGAATATTCTGATACATTGTAGTAAAATGATCCTCTTGTCTTGGTTTGTGTCATTGAAAAATACACATGCCGGGCCATGAGCCTAAAAGAACCATATCTGGCCTTCAGTTAGCTTCCTTACGTTTTGTTTCTCTGCTTCCTTGGGCTATGTAGGACCCTAAGAGAAACCGGCTTTTCCAGTGGAAAGATGTCGAACTGAAGGGGGGCCTTGTCCAGCTTGAATTTCCCCTGTCTTCCGAGCCCGCCTTAGGTACCTACAAAGTGGTGGTTCAGAAGGATTCTGGAAGAAACATTGAACATGGCTTCACAGTGGACAGATTTGGTAAGACGGATTCGATGCCTCTGGTTCCCAGCGCCCGCTTATCCACGCCCAAATGAAATGGGACATTGGCTGTTGGTAGTGGTGGGATTCAAATACCTGAACACCCGGTTCTCTGCGTGGATGCAGGCCTGGGCCTCCAAGACCTAGAATGGACTTCCGGGAGTGACATCCATGCACATCCTGTGGGCTGTTCTAGGGCTGGGAGGCCTCCACCAGGCCTAGAATGGATTTCCAGAAGTGACATCCATGTATTTCCTGTGGACTGTTCCTCCGAGGCCTAAAACAGACTTTTGGAAGTGACATCCATGCACTTCTGGCGGGCCATTCTAGGCCTGGGAGGCCTCCACCAGGCCTAGAATGGACTTCCGGAAGTGACATCCATGCACTTCCGGTGGGTCGTTCTAGGCCTGGGAGACCTCCTCCAGGCCTCCGAGGCCTAGAACGGACTTCCAGAAGCAACATGGGTTCAGCCGGTTCTCCGAACTCAACAAAATTTAGCTACCAGTTCTACTGAACCGGTGGGAACTGTCTGAATCCCACCACTGGGCTGTATCTCCTACTGCACTGATTTTGGGGAAAGACATATTGTAAAAGTTGGGCAAGTTGGTAGTGGGGAACTGAACTATTTATTTAGATCAGGAGTCCAGGCTTGGCTACTTTAAGACTTGTGGCCTTCAACTCCCAGAGTTCCTCAGCCAGCATGCATTGGGGTACAGGGGACACTGTTTCTAAGCAGGATTGGAAAATCCCAACTTCACGCCTTTTTTCAGCCATGGAATCTCTAAAGGTTGTGGATACTCCAACACTGGAGATTTTAAAGAAAAGATGGACAACCCTTTGGGTTTCCTGCTTGAGCAGGGGGTTGGTCCAGAACAGTGGTTCTCAACCTGTGGGTCGGGACCCCATTTGGGGTCGAACGACCATTTCACGGGGGTCGCCAAACAACGCAGTCCGCCATTTTTTTCCCCCTTTTCCTTAACTGTGCTACTCCCTTTTATTCTATTGGCTTTTGAAAGCCAATAGAATAGACTCTCTTGAATAGAGTCTAATTCTATTGGCTTTCAAAAGCCAATAGGAATTGTCCAGGCTATCTCTGCCCTACTGAGCCCGCCAAAAGTCCCATTCTGCAAACGGTGCTGCACCAGTTGAATAGTCCTCATGACCAGTTGAGTAGTCCTTGACTTACGACCGGTTGGGGGATGTGGCATTAAAAAGGTTGAGAACCACTGGTCTAGAAGATCTCCAAGGTCCCTTCCAACTGTGTTATTCTGTTATCTGAAAGAGAAAGCCAAGCCTTCTGTCTCAACCAAGCCACCGGTGTGGTTGAGAGGGGAAGGGTTGAACTGGAAGTAGGAAGAACCAGGTCTGCCCTTCCCCTAGCCATGGAAGCTCCCTGTGGGACTCTCGCTCAGCCCTGCCCTCCCAGTCCAAAAACCAATCATTATTGCCTAAGGCAGGGGTAGGCCACCTTGGCTCTTTTATGACTCATGGACTTCAACTCCCAGAATTCCTGAGCCAGCATGAGCTCAGCTTGAAAACCTCTCCCTTTCCCCTCAGCGTGGCTGACTCAGGAATTCTGGGAGTTGAAGTCCACGAGTCATAAAAGAGCCAAGGTGGCCTTCCCCTGACCTAAGGCAACCTAATTCACAAGATTGTGAGTGCTCCAACACTGGAGGTTTTAAAAAAGAGATTGGAAAACTATTTATCTGAAATGGTATAGGGTTTGCCTCTTGAGCAGGGGGTTGGACTAGAAGACCTCCAAGGTCCTGTCTAACACTGTTCTGTTACTCTCTCTCTCTCTCTCTCTCTCTCTCTCTCTCTCTCTCTCTCTCTCTCTCTCTCTCTCTCTCTTGTTCTCCGCCACCCCCTTCCACACTCTCCTGGTACATTTATCCTATTTTGTTCCCCACTCCTTTCCTTTCATTGCCACGGGGATGTTGTAAAAAAAGATTGATCGCAATCATCAAAGGACCGACTGGTGGCCCTGCTGATTTTTCAAATTAAATGACAAGGGTTCAAAATTCACTTAAAATGGGATATGAAGGATCCCTTTGATGTCTGTGACTTTTCTTCTTCACCCACTTCCTTTTACGATTCCTTTGGAATTCCTTCTGGAGAGAGGAGTCCAGGGTGTCTATGAGGAGAGAGGTAAAATAATAATAATAAATTAGGCAGGATGAGGCCAGAGGCATACAATCAAAATCCTGCTGGTGTTTTTTTTTTTAAAATAAAACCGGCCTAAGGTCATACAGTTGGTTCTTCTCTCTGAAAAAGGGCTAAAACTCACAATTTTATTCTTCATAGTCCAGTGTTTTTAAGTATTCATATGAAACTATTTCATGCAGGTTTATTCTCAACCAATGATTCCAACTCAGTCAGAAACTCCTTCCTTCCTTCCTTCCTTCCTTACTTCCTTCCTTCCCTCCTTCCCAAAACTCATTGCTGAAACTAATTACTTCCTTCCTTCCTTCCTTCCTTCCTTCCTTCCTTCCTTCCCTCCTTCCCAAAACTCATTGCTGAAACTAATTACTTCTTTCCTTCCCAAAACTCATTGCTGAAATTAATTCCTTCTTTCCTTCTTTCCTTCCTTCCCAAACTCATTGCTGAAACTAATTCCTTCCTTCCTTCCTTCCTTCCTTCCTTCCTTCCTTCCTTCCTTCCTTCCTTCCTTCCTTCCTTCCTTCCTTCCTTTTTTCTTTAGCCATCCATTTTCTCAATCAATGACTCTGGGCAGTTTACAATCCCAAAATTTAGCTGTATCTTTGCTCCACGGTGGTGGGAAGGAGGGTGCAATGAAGTGGAGAGCATTCTGTTTTGGGGTTTTTTTTCTTCCTTTTTTTAAAAATTTTGACTTAATTCTTGGTACTTGATTCTTCCTTGTAGTGTTGCCCAGGTTTGAAGTTTTAGTAAAGTCTCCCTCAGTCATAACCTTTCTGGACAACACAATGGCAGTAACCGGCTGCGGGAAGTAAGTGGCAATTTTTTTCTTCTTTATTCAAAGCTAGGATATTTTTTTTCCCCTGACATTCTTCACGTTGGCAATTTCCTTACCCCATGTCCCCTTCTGTGCCAGCCGTGATCATGTGACCATGAATTTATGATGCTTATTTGGTAGAAACCAGCATTTATTTCTGGGTTCCAGCAAAAAAGCCCATTGAAGACAATAGATACATTTAACGACCACCGTAAAAAAAAGACATAACATTCCGGGCTCGCTTATGGTCGTAAATGGAGGACTATGTGTCCTAATATTTTATGGGTATAGTTTTCATTTCTACAAATGCCACTGAGGTTTTCATTCTCCTACATATTTTTTTTCATTTTATTAGCATAGCTATGTTTTGTGTTGTACTTTATCATATCTTGTCTTTGTCAATCTCCAGCTTGAATATCCAAATAAAAGTGTCCAGGATTACTTTCATTTCTGAAAAGCTTACTTATTATAAAGCTTACTTTACTGAATACATGGCATGGTATAGGCCAGGGGTAGGCAACCTTGGCTCTTTTATGACTCGTGGACTTTAACTCCCAGAATTCCTGAGCCAGCATGGAAACCTCTCCCTTTTCCCTCAGCATGGCTGGCTCAGGAATTCTGGGAGTTGAAGTCCACCAGTCATAAAAGGGCCCTAGTTCCTTACCCCCTGACCTAAGTGGAAGTGCCCTCAAATCTGTTACTTGTCAAATTTTCAAAATTCCAGGATTATAATCCTAGAATAGACTAGAGTTTGGAAATCCCAACTCATCTGGAAGGAATCAAAGTAGGCGAGGCTGAGATAGACCAAATCTACTACACCTTGCCCTAGATCAGGGGTAGGCAACCTTGGCCCTTTTATGACTTATGGACTTCAGCTCCCAGAATTCCTGAGCCAGCTTGGCTCAGCTTGGAAACCTCTCCCTTTCTAAGATGACCAACCGTCCTCCTTTAGGGAGGACAGTCCTCCTTTTGTAAGTTCTGTCTTCCCTCAAAAAGTGTCCTCCTTCATGTCCTCCTTTTCGATATTTGAAGACTAATCTCCAGGGCTTTTTTTCCCCCTCATAGAACGCTCAGAACGGCGTTCTGGCACCTTTTTTTGATGGGTTTTGTTTTTCCAACTTTTGCATGAGCTGTGCTACTCCCACTATTGGCTTTCTCTTTGTTATGAGAACCGTCTGCTATTTTTTTTCACACTTGCTAAAATGTCCTTGAAAGCTTTCCAGACAGCCATCTCTTAGCAAAGTTCTGAAGACCTGCAGAGGTTTCGTTTCTCTAACTAACTCATTTGAAATCATCATCTTTATTCTAACGGAAAGATGAAAACAAAGAGGCATGTAGCTGCCAAATTTTCACTCTTGACACTATTATTCTTACATACATACACTGTGAGAGGGATCGCGGAGTCGTAGTGGACAATCATTTAAATATGAACCAGCAGTGTGCTGCAGCTGCCAAAAAAGCCAACACAGTGTGGGCTGCATTAACAACGGGATAGAATTAAGATCACGTGAAGTGTTAATACCACTTTACAATGCCTTGGTAAGGCTACACCTGGAATACTGCATTCAGTTTTGGTCATCACGATGCTGAGACTCTAGAAAGAGTACAGAGAAGAGCAACAAAGATGATTAGGGGACTGGAGGCTAAAACATATAAGGAACGGCTGCTGGAATTGGGTATTTCTAGTTTAACAAAGAGAAGGACGAGGGGGGACATGATAACAGTGTTCCACTATCTCAGGGGCTGCCACAAAGAAGAGGGAGTCAAGCTGTTCTCCAAAGGCAGGACAAGAAGCAACGGATGGAAACTAATCAAGGAGAGAAGCAACCTAGAACTAAGGAGAAACTTCCTGACAGTTAGAACAATTAACCAGTGGAACAACCTGCCTCCAGAAGCGGTGAATGCTCCAACACTGGAAGTTTTTAAGAAGAGACTGGACAGCCATTTGTTTGAAATGGCATAGGGTTTCCTGCCTGAGCAGGTTGTTCCACTGGGTAATTGTTCTAACTGTCAGGAAGTTTCTCCTTAGTTCTAGGTTGCTTCTCTCCTTGATTAGTTTCCATCAGTTGCTTCTTGTCCTGTCTTCAGGCACTTTGGAGAATAGCTTGACTCCCTCTTCTTTGGGGCAGCCCCTGTGATATTGGAACACTGCTATCCTGTCCCCCCTCGTCCTTCTCTTCGTTAAACTAGACATACCCAATTCCAGCAGCCATTCCTTATATGTTTTAGCCTCCAGTCCCCTAATCATCTTTGTTGCTCTTCTCTGTACTCTTTCTAGAGTCTCAACTTCTTTTTTACATCGTGGTGACCAAAACTGGATGCAGTATTCCAAGTGTGGCCTTACCAAAGCATTGTAAACTAGTATTAATACTTTACGTGATCTTGATTCTATCCCTCTGTTAATGCAGCCTAGCACTGTGTTGGCTTTTTTGGCAGCTGCAGCCCACTGGCTTTGTTTCCCTACATAGGATAAGTCCCTTAGCAGAACCCCAGCCAGTGAAATCAATAGCAGCCAGCTGCGGTCTCCGCACCACCATCACACCGAGTAGGATACCAATAGTAACTAGATTTCCTTTCCTCCGATCCTTTGCCTCCTCAGCTAGGGTGCTGCTGAACAATCCTCTCATTTGAGGAGTTGCTCGGACATTATCCCTAAATTGTATCTGAAGAGGGATGAGAGGGAAGAAAGGAGAGGAGAGAGAGGAGAGAGTAAAGGTGTGGGTAAGGAAGTAGGAAGGTTGGAGGAGAAGAGGAGAAGTGGGGAGAAATGGGAGGGGAGTGATGAAGGAAAGAGGAGAGGAGAGGAAGAAGAGGGAAGTAGGGAAGAAAGAGAAGAAAGGGACAAAGAAGGTAGAGAAGAAAGAGTAAGAGTGTGGATACAGTGAAAGGGGAAATGGGTGAGCAACACCAAAATTTATGTGTACGTATTTTTTTATTTTATTAAGAGTATCTGATAGATAAGAATGTAAAAAGAATGTGTGTTAACACGTGACAAATATCACGGTATATGTATGGGGGGAGAGTTGGGGAAAAATAAAAAAGTTTAAATAAAAAACAACAACAATCCTCCCATTTTTCTAACGTTCTGGCTCTCCTGGTTGCAGATACACCTTTGGGAAGCCAGTTCCTGGGCTGGTGAACATGACGGTTTGCCGGAGATTTTCCTATTTCGAAAGCACGTGTTACGGTGAAGAGTCAAAAGCCATCTGTGAGGAATTCAGTGGGCAGGTGAGTCCCAAAAGTTGAAGCAGAAGACCCCGTGACCAGGGCTGGTGAAGATTCCTCAGCCACTGGAGTCCACACCATCAGGGTCAAAATGTGTCTAAAGGGAGCGCCGAGAGCAATGTTTCTCCACCTCAGCCACCCGAAGATGCGTGTGTCACGGTTCCGACTAATGAAACACTTCAAAGAACTTCCAGGCATTATTTACCCTAAAAGCCTTTAATTTACCCTAAAAGCACTTCAGATGGATGGATGCCAGAATCTGAATTTCTCTTGCTGGCATCTAACTTTTCTTGCTAAACCCCTCCCTTATTTTGCAGTCATAAGTCACATCTTCCAATTAGCCTGGAGGGCAAAGACTCACTTCCGTTCCTTCCCCCCCCTTTCCTTATAAATCTCCTCCCTTTCTCTGTCATCTGAATTAACTCTAAAAATACCAGACAGTTCTGTATATTTTGTCAAAGCAATAATATCCTATATTAATAGTGTTGACTGCGTGGACTTCAACTCCCAGAATTCCCCAACAAGCAGTGTCATCAGGTGGTTGAAGTCAACACATTTTAAACCGTGCTGGCTGGGGAATTCTGGGAGCTGAAGTCCACATATCTTCGGGTACCAATAGAAGAGAATAATTGTATCCGCAGGGTTGAACTACTCGTTTAACCCCATTCCCTCCTAGCACTGATGAGGTCACCTTGTTGGGTAATGAAATGTCTGTAAAAAAGGCAACTAGGCAACTAGGCTCAGAGAGCACCAAGGACCCCAGATCTTCAGGTTGTTGGGGTTGAGAAACACTGCCATTGAAGAAGAAATTCAAAAGCCATTCTAGCAACACCAGCATATTGGCTTATTCGTTTATTTAAAACTAGCTGTACCCAGCCACGCATTGCTGTGGCTCAGCGTGGTTAAATGGAAAAGAAAGAAAAGAGAAAGCACACGTTTGTAATATGTTTAATTTCACAATGCTTGTGGGTATACAATATTTTTTGTTGTTCCATTGTATGTGCAGATATAGAGATTACGTCCAAAAGATGGCACTGTTTTTCAAAAAAAGCATGTTTTTACCTGTCACAGGTGTGACATCTATATAATATAGGTATATACAAACACGCGCATATTCGAATGCAACATTGTGTCAAAATTTCAAAGCAATCGGTGAAGAACTTTTGGAGATTTAAGATTTTGAACAAACGGACATTTACATTTTTATTTATATAGCTAGATATACTGAGTGATGTACAATTTATATCGCCACCCATCTCATAATTGTGACTTTAGGCTGTGAAAGAGGATTAAAACCAGAGCCTAGGTCTTGGAAGGGAAGAGACAGTGAGGAAGAAACTCAAGTTTGTCCCAATTTGATTCTCTTTGGTATAAGAAGAAGGGAAGGGAAAACACATGCTTTCAAAGTTCTGTTATCATACTCTTTAAAAATAAAGTTCCAGTGGTTCTTACAGAATGTGCTTCCTGGCCTGGCCTCAAAGGGCTGTCAATGGGATAGAAGAACTGTGGGACAGTGATAAATATTAGATTAGGAACCAGGAGAGACCCAGACCGGCCATAGTTTCATTGCGACGTTGGGCTGGCCATTATCTCAGCCCAGCTTATTTTATTGGGTGGTTGTAAAGATAATATTAAGAGAGGTCTTCATGGGTCCCCTTTGAGCACCCAGTGGAAAAGTGGGATATAAAGACTATACGTAAATCACAGGGCCAGAGTTTCTCAGGGGTATCCTGAAAAGGATAAAAAAAAAATCAAGATGGCAGCCACAATCTCCCAATTGAAGTCTACCCCCTTTTGCCTGCATCATGACACACATTAAAACAGGGCTTCAGTCAAGTGGTCCTGGCCACCATTTGACTTTTTTGACCCCATATGGACACTCCTGGTGCAGGATAATGGCTCAGAAAGCCTAACAGGTTCTATGCGGCTTGAGGCTGACCTTGGATAACGTTAGATCAAGGGGGAAAGTGCTGTAATTTAAAATTACTTAAGCCTCTTTCAGCTCATGGGCTGGAATCAAGTTGAAGGCAACATGGACAGAGAAATGGCAGAAGAATCTCTCCTTGGGCGTGTTTGTGATGTTGTTGTTGTTGTTGTTAGTTGTGAAGTCCTGTCCGACCCATCGCGACCCCATGGACAACGTTCCACCAGGCCTTCCTGTCCTCTACCATCTTCTGGAGCCCATTAAAGCTCACGCCTACTGCTTCTGTGACTCCATCCAGCCATCTCATTCTCTGTCGTCCCCTTCTTCTATTGCCCTCCATCTTTCCCAGCATTAGGCTCTTCTCCAGTGAGTCCTTCCTTCTCATTAGGTGGCCAAAGTATTTGAGTTTCAACTTCAGGATCTGGCCTTCTAAAGAGCAGTCGGGGTTGATCTCTTCTAGGACTGACCAGTTTGAACGCCTTGCAGTCCAAGGGACTCGCAAGAGTCTTCTCCAGCACCATAGTTCAGAGGCCTCAATTCTTTTGCGCTCAGCCTTTCTTATAGTCCAACTTTCACAGCCATACATTGAAACTGGGAAAACCATGGCCTGGACTATACGCACTTTTGTTGGCAGGGTGATGTCTCTGCTTTTTAGAATGCTGTCTAGATTTGCCATAGCTTTGCTCCCCAGGAGCAAGCATCTTTTAATTTCTTGGCTGCAGTCCCCATCTGAGGTGATCTTGGAGCTCAGGAGAATAAAATCTGTCACTACCTCCATTTCTCCCCCCCCCCCCAGTTAGTCTTGGTGGTCAAAATGTCTTCTTTTCCAGAGTCTGAAAACTTAAATCAAGGATGAAGGTGAGCTCCAAAGTTCTGCATTGTTCAGCAGTCTTTTGGTAGATCCTCTGGGCCAAGTTGCAGACTATGAGAGGGTCCCTGCGGGCTACAGTCTGAGAAGGTTTAGTCTAGAAAAAATTATTGAGGAAAATAAAATGTAACACCGCAACTTGTTTACTCTCTGATTTCTTATGCAGGCTGATATTCACGGCTGCTTCTCACACGAGGTGGATCTGAAAATATTCCAGCTGAAGAGAAATGGATTTCAGATGGAGATTCATACGGAGGCCACAATCACAGAACAGGGGACAGGTAAACAGTGTGGGAGATGTGATGGCTGGAGGTCGCGCAGCTTGCTTTTTATAGCAAGGGATTGCAGCTTCCGTCTTCGGCTTCCCATCTAAAGTGCTGTTTTTCAAAGTTAGTGAGTTTAAAACGGGTAGATTTCAACTCCCAGCTGTTCACCAAAAATCCACCCGTCTTAAAAGTCACCCAGTTTGAAAAACACGGATCTAAAAGGTCGCTGAGGATCACCAGGGATTGGAAAGAACTTGGCCAAAGAGCTTTTGTGGCCCAGAATATAGGTCAGTGATGGCGAACCTTTTAGAGCAGTGTTTCTCAACCTTGACAATTTTAAGGCATGTGGACTTCAACTCCCAGAATTCCACAGCCAGCAATGCTGGCTGTGGAATTCTGGGAGTTGAAGTCCACATGCCTTAAAATTGTCAAGGTTGAGAAACACTGTTTTAGAGACTGAGTGCCCCAAAACCACTCCACCCGTCCTGCCCTCTCCGCCCCGGCCCCCAGCCTGCTCCGCTCCCACCCCTCCCACCTCCACGACCCGCCACAGATCACCCAGGCAGCCTAGCAGCGCCATGGTGGCCATGTCCTCCGCCTGCACCCTGCAGCATCATCTGTGTGCAATGGAGTGGGAGGGCGGAGTCTTGTCACCGCTGCCCATCTCCATGTCCTTGGCTGCGCTGCTCCACACGGGCCGCACTCATGGGCAACTCTCCTCCAGGGGGGCTGCTGGTGAGGAGGGGGTCGTGGGGGGATGTAAGATGCTAAGAAAAAGACACAGGCATGTCTTGAGCAGAGGTTTGAAGCTGCAGGACACAGCTTGACAAACTCTGTGAGTTTATTGCTTTTTATATTCTTGTTACATACACCAGCTTAACCATTAGATGCTGACATAAAGTTTCTTCATTGGAAAATTTCTTCATGTAAGCAGCTATTTTCTAGTAACACATTACATGGTCAAAGACCAGGTAAAGAACAAATACAGGGAGATGAAAGGAGAAGGAACGAACAAAGACAGGAAAAGATAGGAAGGAACTAAGCATATTATTTGTTTCGGTAGGTGAGGCATTAAGTCAAAAGGGTATGACCTTCTGGTTGCTTCACAGGGACAAAGGATATCAAAAGGTTATGAGGTTTGTGGGGGGGGAAGCACAGCAGTTTGCTGCGCGTGCGTTTTTCCCCACAGGGGGAGGTGGGACTGGGGCGACAGCACATGTGCCTGTAGAGAGGGCTCCGAGTGCCACCTCTGGCACGCGTGTCATAGGTTCGCCACCACTGATATAGGTAGTCCTCCACTTACCGCCACAATGGAGTCCAAAGTTTCTATTGCTGGGTGAGAAGTTGCTAAGTGAGGTTTTACTCCATATTACGACCTTTCTTGCCACAGTTCTTAAGTGAATCACTGCAGTTGTTAAGTTAGTCACGTGGTTGTTAAGTGAACCTGGTTTCCCGTTGACTTTGCTTCTCGGAACGTCGCTAAAGGGGATCACTTGACACCCCTCCCGGGGACACGGCAACCATCATAAATATGAACCAGTTGCCAAGGATTTAAATGTCGATCATGTGACCCTGGGGAACGCTGTAACGATCATTAAGTGTGAAAAATCATCACAAGTCACTTTTTTCTGTGCCCTTGTAACTTCAAACAGCTACTAAACAAACGTTTATAAGACGGGGTCTACTTGTATGTCAGACAGCTGGATAAAACGATACAATTGTCTGAATGGTTAACAAGAAAACTTTTGAATTTTTCTCTGAGCCCAAGAAATGAAAATTGCCAAATCAGCTGGTTGGGGAGTTTGGCTCCAGCAGGGGTAGGCCACCTTGGCTCTTTTATGACTCGTGGACTTCAACTCCCAGAATTCCTGAGCCAGCACGGGGGAACTATGGCCCCTTCATGACTCGTGGACTTCAACTCCCGGAATTCCTGAGCCAGCCTGGCTCAGCTTGGAAACCTCTCCCTTTCTCCTCAGCATGGCTGGCTCAGGAATTCTGGGAGTTGAAGTCCACAAGTCATAAAAGGGCCGAGGTTGCCTACCCCTGTGCTCCGGGGATTTTAAAAAAAGGCATCGAAGGGTCCTGTTGTGTTCCTCCTAAGCTTTGCGTGTCTGTTTCCTTTCGGCAGAGGTTGTGCTGACAGGCTCAGCCACCACATATATAACTCCGACACTTAGCGTCGTTTCCTTTGAAAATGTGGACGCTTACTACAAACCTGGACTTCCTGTCTCTGGGGAGGTAAGGCAAATTGGTTGATGGCCTCCCTGGTTGAATATTTCATTCCAACCATGTCTTGAATCGGTGGGTGATTAGGACCGTTCCACGGGGCCCTCCTTCTCCTTAGATGCAGCCCACTCTAAGCCTCAGAGATGTTTCTCCTGAAGCTTTGGAGAAACTGAGATGAGTGGTTCCTCTTCCCCTCTGACCCGACTCCTGTTCACACGACTACCCTGGCATAGCATAGCAATTGGATCCGTTCCTAAGCCGGTGTTTTTCTTTGTAAATTTAGATCAAGCTTGTGGACGGCCGAAAAAAGCCGATAGCCAACCAGGTCGTTGAGATTCAAATAGCAGGAGTGAAGAACAGTTCCTACTACAACACTGACGATCAGGGACGAGCCCACTTTTCCATAGACACTTCCGACTTCACAGACGAGGCCCTTCAGCTCACTGTGAGTATTCTTAGCGATGTGGGTGTTAGCCGTAAATCACGGCAAGGTTCTTAGCCCAGTATGCCCTTTGCCAAATAGGATCTGGGGTGGAAAGATACTTTTTATGTAGGCATAAGAGGGGGCTCAATGGCTCTGCGGTTAAAGACCGCAGCTGAAAGGCTGACAACCAGGGTTCAAGGCCCGAGCGCTGCCTGATGGGGTGAGCTCGCATCACTCGCCCCAGCTCCTGCCAACCTGGCATTTCGAAAGCATTTCAAGTGCGCATAGATAAATAGGTACAACTTGGGTGGGAAGATAACAGCGTTCCATGGGCCTTAGCGTATAGTCACGCTGACCACCTGACCCTGGAAATGTTTTTGGAGTCCTACTGGACAATCACTTAAATATGAGCCAGCAGTGTGCTGCAGCTGTTGAAAAGGCCAACACAGTGCTAGGCTGCATTAACAGAGGGATAGAATCAAGATCACTTGAAGTATTAATACCACTTTACAATGCCTTGGTAAGGCCACACTTAATACTGCATCCAGGTTTGGTCACCACAATGTAAAAAAGATGTTGAGACGCTAGAAAGAGTGCAGAGAAGAGCAACAAAGATGATCAGGGGACTGGAGGCTAAATAATAATAATAATGGAGACAGCAGAATAGAAGAGAAAGAGCTGGAGAAGATAACAAAATACAAAGACCTACAAATAGAAATAGAAAGACTGTGGCAAAAGCAAGCAAGGATAGTACCAATAGTCATAAGTGCCTTGGGTGCAATCCCAAAACAACTGGAGCATCACTTGAACACCATTGGCATTGACAAATTTGCCATTAGTCAATTGCAAAAGGCGGCCTTACTAGGAACTGCTTCCATCCTGCGATGATACCTGTAATACCATCAAACATCCACCTCTGCCTATCCCAGGTCCTGGGTAAGGACTCGATAGGTAGACAAAATGCCAAATCCAGTCTGAACATCTGGCTGACTGTGCGATGATCCATCATCATCATCATAATAATAATAAGCTGTTGCAAGAAGACTGCGCAAACTGATTACAAGCAGCGGCAGCAACAATGGTGCATTGGAAGATCTGCAAAAAATATCATTTGCCTGTAAGCAAAAACTGGTGGGATCATAAAATAGAGAAAGTCATAGAAAATGATAAAATTAAACTGCTCTGGGACTTCAGAATTCAAACAGACAAGCACCTGCAACATAACACCCCAGACTTAACAATTGTCGATAAGAAAGACAAAAAAGTCTGGATAGTGGACGTGGCAGTGCCTGGAGATAGCAGAATAGAAGAGGAAGAACTGGAGAAGATAACAAAATACAAAGACCTACAAATAGAAATAGGGTAAGGACTCGATAGGTAGACAAAATGCCAAATCCAGTCTGAACATCTGGCTGACTGTGCGATGATCGATAATAATAATAATAATAAAAAAATTGGAAGGGACCTTGGAGGTCGTCTACTTCAACCCCCTGCTCAGGCATGAAACCCAATACCATTTCACACAAATGGCTGTCTAGTCTCTTCTTAAAAACTTCGAGTGCTGGAGCATTCACCGTTTCTAGAGGCAGGTTGTTCCACTGGTTCATTGTTCTCACTGTCAGGAAGTTTCTCCTTAGTTCTAGGTTGCTTCTCTCCTTGATTAGTTTCCATCCGTTGCTTCTTGTCCAGTTTTCTTCAACTGTCCAATGTATGTGGTGGCGGCGGCGGTGGTGGTGATGGCAACTATGATTATGATTGGTATTCTCTTTTTTTGCCAGGCAACCTATAAAAAATTAGATTACTGTTACGATTCGAACTGGATCTCCCCTCAACACCAAACTGGCTTTTCCTCACCATCACGTTTCTACTCTCCAAGTCAAAGCTACCTCAAAATTGAAACGCGCCTCAGCTCGCTATCCTGCGGGGAGCATGCCATCATCCCAGTCCATTACATTCTCAAGCCAGAGCTCATAAAGGACAAAGAAGTTGTCTTTCACTACTTGGTATGTATGAACAAAGTGCCCTTTATTTCACTCACAAGGGCTGAAGAAGGAAGGGGGGGAGGGAGCATCTGAGGCAGCGGTTCTCAACCTGTGGGTCGGGACCCCATTTGGGGTCGAACGACCATTTCACAGGGGTCGCCAAACAATGCAGTCCGCCATTTTTTCCCTCTTTTCCTTAGCTGTGCTACTCCCTTTTATTCTATTGGCTTTTGAAAGCCAATAGAATAGACTCTCTTGAAGAGAGTCTAATTCTATTGGATTTCAAAAGCCAATAGGAATTGTCCAGGCTGTCTCTGCCCTGCTGAGCCCGCCAAAAGTCCCATTCTGCAAACGGTGCTGCATCAGTTGAGCAGTCCTCGACTTACGACCGGTTGAGTAGGCCCCGACTTACAACCGGTTGGGGGTCGCGGCATTAAAAAGGTTGAGAACCACTGATCTGAGGAGTAAAGCTCAACATGGTGGTATCGTACAAGAGGAGCGTGGGAGGAACATATTCTAGTAGCTGTAGGTGTCACAGTGGTTAGACTGCAGCATTGCAGGCTTACTCTGCCCACAGCCTTCGAGTTCGATCCGGACCGGCTCAAAGTTGACTCAGCCTTCCATCCTTCTGAGGTCGGTAAAATGAGGACCCAGATTGTTGGGGGGCATTGAAAATATGCTGACTCTGTAATCCAATAACAGAGGGCTGGAAAGCCAGTGGTGGCGAACCTATGGCACAAGTGCCAGAGGCGGCACTCAGAGCCCTCACTGTGGCCCCCTCCTCACAGCAGTCCCCCCCCGGAGGAGAGTCGACCCCGGGCGTGGCCCACGCAGAGCAGCGCAGCTAAGGACATAGCAGCCGGGCAGCAGGGACAAGACTCCGCCTTCGCGCACTGTCATGTGCAGTTGATGCTGAGGGGTGCGGGCGGAGGGCATGGCCAACATGGCACTGCAGGGCCACCTGGGTGATCTGCTGCAGCAAGCCATGGAGGCGGTAGGTGGCCCTGCAGGGGGTGGGCTGGTTTTTGGGCACTCAGTGTCTAAAAGGTTTGCCATCACTGGTCTAAGGGCTACTGCCATTGCTAGTATTTGTTCCAAAAAGGGGGATGGATCATGTAGGTCCGGGGTAGGCAGCCTTGGCTCTTTTATGACTGGTGGACTTCCACTCCCAGAATTCCTGAGCCAGCCATGCTGAGGGGAAAGGGAGAGGTTTCCAAGCTGAGCCAGGCTGGCTCAGGAATTCTGGGAGTTGAAGTCCACGAGTCATGAGGGGGCCATAGTTCCCCCATGCTGGCTCAGGAATTCTGGGAGTTGAAGTCCACCAGTCATAAAAGAGCCAAGGTGGCCTACCCCTGAAGTAGACTATAAAATAACAGTTGGAGGTCATCTAGTCCAATGTCCTTCTCAAGCGGGAGACCTTATACCAGGGGTAGGCCACCTTGGCTCTTTTATGACTGGTGGACTTCAACTCCCAGAATTCCTGAGCCAGCCATGCTGAGGAGAAAGGGAGAGGTTTCCAAGCTGAGCCACGCTGGCTCAGGAATTCTGGGAGTTGAAGTCCACCAGTCATAAAAGAGACAAGGTGGCCTACCCCTGCCCATGGGGAAGCCAGTTTCACTTAACAACCAGGTGATTGACTTATCAGCCGCAATGATTCACTTAACAACTGGGGCAAGGAAAGTCGTAACATGGGGCAAAACTCAGTTAGCAAATGTTTTGCTTAGCAACGGAAATGTCGGATTCAGTTGCGGTTGTAAGTCAAGGACTACCTATGAATCCTTTCAATCCAGAAGCACCTTTCCGTTAGATTTGTAGGGGCTTCTGACACCCACACAGACCCCTTTTAATACAATCTGCTTATACAACAGTGGCCAAAATTGTGGAAACCTTTTGGGAAAAGTGTACAGTAGAAATGCCATCTTTGGTTAAGTTCCCACCCATTTTTCTTCTAATTTCTTTACCACTGTAGCCTTGTTCACTTCATAATACTATTTTACATTGCTTTCTGGCCGACCAGTCAACTCTTTTGCACTGTTATTTTAATTTTATTACGTTTTACAAGCTCACTAAATGAAAGAACACACAAAAAAAACCCAACCAACTTGATAGCAATCACATAAACACACTGACAAATGTCCTCTTCTCAGCTTCAATACATGACATCAATAACTGGATCCTACTGTGATCTGATTGGCTCATTGCCAAAAAAGATGACACCCGATTGGCTCTCTAAACACTCATGCTCATTGGCTACAATCGGATGAAGGAAAGCTACCTGAGATCAACCTAAGCAAGTTGTGCTTCCTTTTTCTGGTTATTTGGCTATAACCTTTCATAGACTACAGTACAGATAATTGAACAAGCTATGTTGCGTTACATTCTTGATTAAATTATCTTTCCATTGATATATGATTTTATGGTACCACTCCCCCCAAAAGTGGTGTTATTAGCCATCAAACCTCAAAAATACACTTTTCCCAAAAGGTTTCCACAATTTTGGCCACTACTGTAAAAATGTGTGGCTGTATCCAAGTCTTTGCAGGACCCAGCTTAAGAAAATTTTCTTCTTTTAAATCAGGGGGTCTTCAAACGTGGCCCTTTTATGACTTGTGGACTTCAACTCCCAGAATTCCTCAGCCAGGCACGCGTGCCTGGCTGAGGAATTCTGGGAGATGAAGTCCACAAGTCATAAAAGGGCCACGTTTGAAGACCTCTGTTTTAAATCCTGATGTTTTAAGTGTCCAGGTGATATGCAGTTATATTTCCCCAGCACTATACTGTCCAGAAATTACAGTGACTGAGCCAATTAACAACAGACGAGAATATTACATAATGTAATATAACAACAGCCTAACAGAACATCAGCAATCTATGCAAGCGGAAAGTGTAGACTAATTGATACTTGTGCATAAGATTGTAGTCAATTCTCCTGAATTTCATTATAGTTTACCAAGGGCCGATTGATCCCGAGGAGCATTCTTTTCAAAAAAAAATTGCCAATTGCTTTTTTTTGTGCTTAGCCAGAAATCTAATAATCATTTTTAAGGTTTTTTTTTTAAAGTTAAAAAAAAGTTTTTCCACCTACTTTCGTATCTCGGCCTGCTCATTGCCACCCAATTCCAAAAAGTCCAGACCTCTTAAACTAGCCAAATTTATCTACCGGCAACTGGTTCTTCTTTCTCTGATCTTGTTCCAACTGCAGAGATCTTGACAATAAGTCCTTTTGGGCTATTGGTTTGATCTCCGAGCTTGACAATTTGGCTGCAAAGGTTTCGTCTCCGTTCGGGGAGGGGGGGCCAGATCCAGCGCACTTCGAATTGCGCTCGTCTGTCAGATAAGTATAAAAATAAGTCCTTTTGTGTGTGTTTTTTCATGAAGGTGGTGGCCAGAGGGGATATCGTGATGACAGGAACTCACCCCTTGAAAGGAAAGGAAAATAAAGGTAAACATGTTTTCTCTTCTCTTCCCGCTTTCCCTCCGCCCATTTTTCCTTTGGGAATGAACGGATGAAAAAAAAAAACCAGCCTCTTATTCCTTTTTTCTTTTTTGTCCAAAATGCTAATGAAAATTCCCCTCTAAAGAAGTTTTTTTTTTTTCCCCTGCCATGTTAATTGGAAGAGGGCACTCAAGAATAGGTTGATGGCTGTTATGTCGACGGTAGGAAAAATTCATGCCGGCAGGTTCTCTAAACTTTTATTAATCAACAGCTCAGTTGCAGGAATAGAATAGAATAGAATAGAGTAGAATAGAATAGAATAGAATAGAATAGAATAGAATAGAATAGAATAGAATAGAATAGAATAGAATAGAATAGAATAGAATAGAATAGAATAATAGGGATGAAATAGGAATAGAATAGAATAGAATAGAATAGAATAGAATAGAATAGAATAGAATAGAATAGAATAGAATAGAATAGAATAGAATAGAATAGAATAATAGGGATGAAATAGGAATAGAATAGAATAGAATAGAATAGAATAGAATAGAATAGAATAGAATAGAATAGAATAGAGTTGGAAGGGACCTTGGAGGTCTTCTAGTCCAGCCCCCTGCTCAAGCAGGAGAACCTATGGCTTGCCCTATCAGTATTTGGGGGGGGGGATGTCTTGCAGCTACTTTGGTTGAGCTGTTTACTGTCGGCTTGTTTGGCAGTTCCTTGACTGGGCTATTGTTTCCTTGTCCCAGAGGTGCTTTTTCGAGAGGCATCTGGACTTTCTTTGCTTCTGCTGGAAGCATAAACAGAGAAAATCTAGGGAGCTCTCAAAAAAAGCACCTTTGGGACCGCCACGACCTGGAGGACTGCGAATCTCCACAGACACGTATCGTTTACCTCTGAATTGCTGGCCCGCTGTTCATCTGAACTCCCAAGATTAACGTCGGCTCCACAATCCAAAAAGTAAACAATATCCCAGTCAAGAAACTACCAACTCCATCGGCGCAAGCATCAAGCAATTGAGGCTGCACCCATGATCCCCTGCTGCTTGCACGGCCCGGTTCTGAACGGGCCACAGTCCCGGGGGGGGGGTGGGGGGATCCCCCGTTCTAAGGTCGTTGTTAGACCTGCTTCGGTGTTATCTAAGAGCCGAGGTGGCACAGCAATTAGAGTGCAGTACTGCAGGCCACTTTAGCTGACTGTGTTCAGCAGGTCAGCGGTTCAAATCTCACCGGCTCAAGGTTGACTTAGCCTTCCATCCTTCGGGGGTAGGTAAAATGAGGACCCAGATTGTTGGGGGCAATGTATATATATATATATATATATATATATATATATATATATATATATATATATATATATATTTTCTGAGGTTTTCGCGGGTATTTGTATGTAGGTCTTTGGTTGTTCGGGTTTTCTCCCACGTAAAATTGGAAGTGTCTTGGCGACGTTTCGACGAAGTCCCATTCGTCATCTTCAGGCTGGTGTTTTCAGCTTCGTGCTTCGAGCAGCAATGTGTGGTCTTAGCTGTTTCTTCCTTTTAACTGCCAGTGGGGTATGAACTGATTGGGTGGGAGCTTGGCTGTGTTCTGATTGGGTGGAGGTGTGTTCTGATTGGTTAGGGGCTTGGCTGTGCTCTGATTGGCTGGGGGGTTGGCTGTGCTCTGATTGGCTGGGGGGTTGGCTGTGCTCTGATTGGCTGGGGGAGTGTTCTGTTTGGTTGTGCTCAGGTTAGTCTGAGTTGCAGAGGGATTCAAGATTTTGGGCTGCCCTGCCATTCCTTGGCTTCGCGTTCGTGGTCGTGCTTCCTCTTCATGGAGGGTGTCAGTTTGCTTCATGTATGGATTGGGGGGGTTTAAAGTGGCTAATGATGCAGCTGTGGTCTGGCTTCTGGTTTGTGGTCGTGCCTCATAGTCAGTGTGGCTTTGGGTTTGTTTTTTGCGTGGATGTTTGGTGGTGACATCCTGTGTGGTTTTTGTGAGTGTGGGTCTGGTATCATTTTTTGTGTTAGGGAGTCGTTTGTCAATGAGGGCGGGTTTCCAAATGGCTGGTAGGCGGGAGGTATCATCTCGCTTGTTCATGCTGTGTGGGCGTTTTTCTATCTCGATGGCTTCTCTGATTATTCTGTTATTAAAATGTTCACTTTTGGCAATGGTTCTGGTATTTTTAAAGTCAATTTCATGTCCTGTAGCTTTAAGGTGTTGGACCAGGGAAGATGTTGGTTCCTCTTTTTTGACTGAGTTCTTATGTTCTTCAATGCGTGCACTTATTCTTCTGTTGGTTTGTCCGATGTATGTGGTGGGACAAGTGGTGCATGGGATTTCGTATACTCCTTGATTTTCTAATTCAATTTTATCTTTGGGGTTTCTAAGGATGGTGGATATTTTTCTGTTTGTGCAGAATGCTGTTTTGATGTTGTGTTTATGGAGGATCTTACTGATTCTGTCTGTGATGCCTTTTATGTATGGGAGGATGGCTTTGCCGTTTTCTTGTTCTTTGTCTTGGATTTTAGTGGGGGTTTCTTTTTGGATTAGGTTTGTAATCTTATTTCTTTGGAATCCATTGGATGTTAGTACATTGGTGAGAGTGTGTAGTTCGGTTTTTAGGTGTTGTTCGTCAGCTAAGCGTTTTGTTCTGGAGATGAGTGTCTTGGCTACAGAGTTGATCTGTGCTGGGTGGTGGTGTGAGAGAGCGTGCAGATAGCGGTTTGTGTGTGTTTTCTTCTGGTAGATGGTGTGTCCTAGGGAGCCATTGGATTTCTTGTAGACTAAGACATCCAGGAAGGGAAGTTGGTTGTTAGTTTCTGTTTCCATGGTGAACTGTATTTTGGGGTGTAGGCTGTTGAGGTGTGTGAGGAAGTTGTCCAGTTTTTCTTTCCCATGTGGCCAGATTATGAAGGTGTCGTCTACGTATCTGAGCCAGAGTTTGGGTTTGTGATCGATTTTTCTAGAGCTTGGGTTTCAAAGTGTTCCATGTAGAGGTTTGCAATGACAGGTGAGAGGGGTGATCCCATGGGTGCTCCTTCTGTTTGTTTGTATTTTGTGTCCATTATAGATGAAGTATGTGTTGGATAGGCAGTGGTTGGTCAGATCTAAGATGTGTTTGGGGGGGTTATATTTGTTTGGATAGCTGTCAAGGCTTCTTGATAGGCACTTGGGTGAAGAGGGATATGACATCGATGTCATATCCCTCTTCACCAAGTGCCTATCAAAGAAGCCTTGACAGCTATCCAAAACAAAATATACCCCCCCAAACACATCTTAGATCTGACCAACCACTGCCTATCCAACACCTACTCATCTATAATGGACAAAAATACAAACAAACAGAAGGAGCACCCATGGATCACCCCTCTCACCTGTCATTGCACCTCTACATGGAACACTTTGAAACCCAAGCTCTAGAAAAATCGGATCACAAACCCAAACTCTGGCTCAGATAACGTAGACGACACCTTCATAATCTGGCCACATGGGAAAGAAAAACTGGACAACTTCCTCACACACCTCAACAGCCTACACCCCAAAATACAGTTCACCATGGAAACAGAAGCTAACAACCAACTTCCCTTCCTGGATGTCTTAGTCTACAAGAAATCCAATGGCTCCCTAGGACACACCATCTACCAGAAGAAAACACACACAAAACGCTATCTGCACGCTCTCTCACACCACCACCCAGCACAGATCAACTCTGTAGCCAAGACACTCATCTCCAGAACAAAACGCTTAGCTGACGAACAACACCTAAAGCCCGAACTACACACTCTCCCCAATGTACTAACATCCAATGGATTCCATAGAAATAAGATTACAAACCTAATCCAAAAAGAAACCCCCACTAAAATCCAAGACAAAGAACAAGAAAACGGCAAAGCCATCCTCCCATACATAAACGGCATCACAGACAGAATCAGTAAGATCCTCCATAAACACAACATCAAAACAGCATTCTGCACAAACATAAAAATATCCACCATCCTTAGAAACCCCAAAGATAAAATTGAATTAGAAAATCAAGGAGTATACGAAATCCCATGCACCACTTGTCCCACCACATACATCGGACAAACCAACAGAAGAATAAGTGCACGCATTGAAGAACATAAGAACTCAGTCAAAAAAGAGGAACCAACATCTTCCCTGGTCCAACACCTTAAAGCTACCGGACATGAAATTGACTTTAAAAATACCAGAACCATTGCCAAAAGTGAACATTTTAATAACAGAATAATCAGAGAAGCCATCGAGATAGAAAAACGCCCACACAGCATGAACAAGCGAGATGATACCTCCCGCCTACCAACCATTTGGAAACCCGCCCTTATTGACAAACGACTCCCTAACACAAAAAATGATACCAGACCCACACTCACAAAAACCACACAGGATGTCACCACCAAACATCCACGCAAAAAACAACCCCAAAGCCACACTGACTATGAGGCACGACCACAAACCAGAAGCCAGACCACAGCTGCATCATTAGCCACTTTAAACCCCCCCAATCCATACATGAAGCAAACTGACACACTCCATGAAGAGGAAGCACGACCACGAACGCGAAGCCAAGGAATGGCAGGGCAGCCCAAAATCTTGAATCCCTCTGCAACTCAGACTAACCTGAGCACAACCACACAGAACACTCCCCCAGCCACTCAGAGCACAGCCAACCCCCCAGCCAATCAGAGCACAGCCAACCCCCCAGCCAATCAGAGCACAGCCACGCCCCTAACCAATCAGAACACACCTCCACCCAATCAGAACACAGCCAAGCTCCCACCCAATCAGTTCATACCTCCACTGGCAGTTAAAAGGAAGAAACAGCCAAGACCACACCCTGCTGCTCGAGGCACGAAGCTGAAAGCACCAGCCTGAAGATGACGAATGGGACTTCGTCGAAACGTCGCCAAGACACTTCCAATTTTACGTGGGAGAAAACCCGAACAACCAAAGACCTATATATATATATATATATATATATACATTGCTTACTGGTGTACACCGCTTAGAGAGTGCTTGCACTTAAAGCGGTATATAAGTCTCATAAAATAAAAAATAAAAAATAAATAAAATCCCTGGCTGAGTTCACAGGGAACGGAGCAGGTCCCGCTTGGCCTTCATTCTTTGCACTTTCTCAGCTTCCCTGAAATGTCTTTTTCTTTTTTTTCACCAGGAACGTTCAGCCTGGACCTTCTGCTGGATATTAAGAGCGCTCCTTTGGCCCGCTTGCTTCTGTACACAATTCTGGATAATGGAGAGCTTGTGGCGGACTCTGCTGATTTCCCCATTGAGCCCTGTTTTGCAAATAAGGTAAGGCTGCCGACAAGCTTCGTCCATACCCCTTCCTTGCCCCAAAGATGCCCCAGACCCCACTTAACCATTTGCAGAGATAGAGCTTCACTGAGGAACTGGCATCTCATTCCCAGCTTGTGCTAAGACAGGCTTAGTAATAGGACGAGAGAGTTGGAAGGGACCTTGGAGGTCTTCTAGTCCAGCCCCCTGCTCAAGCAGGAAACCCCATTCCATGCTGGACAAATGGCTCTTCTTGAAAACCTCCAGTGTTGGAGCATCCACAGCTTCTGGGGGCCAGTCAATCAAGGGGAACCGAGGAGGTTTCCTCAGCAGAGCCCAACCAGACCACCTGCAAAGGTGTTCTTGGTCGTGCAGGGGAGGAGCCTAAGGGAGGCCGCTGATCCACAGGGCTTCCATTGGCCCCCTGCAGGATCGCCCCTCTCATGTGTCTGGAAGACCCTGCCTCCATAGGCGGTTGTCCTGCAGCGGCCAGAAAGACTGGACACCCTTCTCTGTGTGGCTTTTGCTTGTGGGAGTAACAGCTTTTGGGGAGGCTGATTGCCCATTTCACAAAAAAGGAGGAAGGAAGGAAGGAAGGAAAAAAAAGGGAAGGAGGGAAGAAGAAAGGAATTAAGGAAAGGAAGGAAAGAAAGAAGGAAGGAAGGAAAGCAAAGAAGGAAGGGAAGGAAGGAAAGAAGGAAAGAAAGAAAGAAGGAAGGAAGGAAAGAAGGAAAGAAAGAAGGAAAGAAGGAAGGAAGGAAGGAAGGAAGGAAGGAAGGAAGGAAAGAAAGAAAGAAGGAAGGAAGGAAGGAAAGAAGGAAAGAAAGAAAGGAACGAAAGATAGAAGGAAGGAAAGGAAGGAAGGAAAGAAAGAAGGAAAGGAAGGAAAGAAAGGAAGAAAGAAAAGAAAGAAAGAAAGAAAAGATAGAAGGAAAGAAAGGAAGGAAAGCAAAGAAGGAAGGAAAGAAGGAAGGAAAGGAAGGAAAGAGAAGGAAGGAAAGGAAGGAAGTTAAGGAAGGAAAGAAAGAAGGAAAGCTAAGAAGGAAGGAAAGGAAGGAAGGAAGGAAAGAAAGGAAGGAAGGAAGGAAGGAGAAGGAAGGAAAGGAAGGAGGGAGGGGGGAGGAAGGAAGGAAGGAAAGAAAGAAGGAAGGAAGGAAAGGAAGGAAGGAAAGGAAGGAAAGAAGGAAGGAAGGAAAGGAAGGAAGGAAGGAAGGAAGGAGAAGGAAGGAAGGAAGGAGCAAAATTCTCACCCTGCAGTGTCTATAAAAAGAGGAAGGACTAGAACCCCTTTTAGGAGAATCGTCCCTTGCTCCTTCTCCCTCGCTTTGCCAAGCGATCGGTCTGTTTCCTTCTTTTTAGCTTTATTATAGATTCCGGCTACTAGATTCTTCCCTCCGTCTTTTTTTAATACGTTCCCTTTCTCCCCTCCTTTGGCTTAAATGGAGAAGGAAAGGTGTGGGGGGGGAACAGGGGCTCTTCCGACAGCGCTTGCCGTGGAAAGGGAGGGGAGGGAGGGATCTTTGAAAACCACGAAGCCAAGGTCTTCTGCCCAATCCCAAAGGTTGGCTGGGGGGGGGCAGCCCTAGAGGAGAAGCACATTCCAGGGTGATTTTTGTTGGCGTTGTGTGGCGGCGCATTCACTCTCGTTTTTTCTGTCGTCCAGGTGAACCTGCGATTCGCTGAGCCCGAAGGCTTGCCTGGCAGCAACCTCAATCTCCACCTTTCCGCTGCCCAGAACTCCCTCTGCGCCATCTGGGCAGTTGACAAGAGCATCTTCCTTCTGAAGCCTGAAGCTGAGCTGTCTCCTCAAAAGGTGAGGCCTTTATTTAAGCCAGCTGAAAGCAGAAGCAGAAGCAGAAGCAGAGGAAGGAAAAGGGGAAGGGGAAGGAGGAGGAGGAGGAGGAGGAAGAGGAGGAGGAGGAAGAAGAAGAAGAAGAAGAAGAAGAAGAAGAAGAAGAAGAAGAAGAAGAAGAAGAAGAAGAAGAAGAAGAAGAAGAAGAAGAAGAAGAAGAAGAAGAAGAAGAAGAAGAGCCTGAACTCACGACAAATATGCTAACTAAGCCAAATATGGAGACTCACATTATTAGGCCAACAGTCTAATGCAGGGCTTTTCAACCTTTTCATCCATTGTACCACTTTTAGGAAATGGCAACATCCGAGTACCACCAGTCGCCTAGCAAGGTGTCAAAAACTTGATGACAAAAAAAAAGGAAAAAAAAGTGATAAAAGTACAGGTTGTCCTCGACTTACAGCAGTTTGCTTAGTGACTGTTCGAAATTACAGTGGCACTGAAAAAAGTGCCCCCCAAGGCCCAGCCGAGCAAGACACCTGCCTGCCCACCTGGCGGTGCTCTTCATCCTGTCTGAGATTTTCATTGTTGTGAGCATTTCTGTTGGGGATTGGCAGCTGGGGTGGAGTGGGGGGGGGTATTTGTTTTTTATTTCTCCGTCTGCTGGGTGGTTGCAGCAGGTTTTGGTCACTTCACATGACCCTGGGACACTGTGACCGTCATAAATATGAATCAGTTGCCAAGCATCTGAATGTAAATCACAAGACTCTGGAGATGCTGCAACGTTCCAGCTGATCGGCGCTTCTTCTGGGCTCAGCGGAAGCGCCAGGATCAGCGCCGAGCTTCAGCTGGAGCCTGTCGCTGATCCTGGCGATTCCACTGAGCCCTGACAGCCCTGCAGCTCCAGCCATCTCTGGCTCAGGCTTGTGCAGTGCTGCCACCGGTTCAGCTCATTCCCCTCCCCCACTACCACTTTTCTAGGATGGTCGCGTACCACCTGCCAGGTGCCAATGTACCACAGGTAGTACCCATACCACTGGTTGAAAAACCCTGATCTAATGATTATGAAGGGACTAGCTTCCTTGAAAAGTTGATAACTGGATGGTCTCCCTTGACTCAAATGACACATGCAGGAATGAAGAGAGATCCACCCGAGGATTTAAAGGAAACTGCTATGGAAGCCTGTTTCTGGCACAAAAGGAAGGCCAGAGTTAGACTAAAAAAATGGGGTTTTTTTTAATGTGACTTTTAACGGAAGAACCTAAAATTTCACTTAATGGGCTAAGGAGATTTTTAAAAGACACTAATTGATTTAATATTTGGGATTTAGCCCTATAAGAGAAATAAAAATTAGTTACTAGAATAATAGTTTTAAATTATAATATAGAAGATGGATTCAGAGGATAAAGGTTATTTTATTAGTAAGTGATGATATTAGGATGAGAAGTAGAATATGATTCTGAAATAAACTAAGAACTTATCTGAATAAATAATAAGTGTATTTTAGATATGATAACTATTTCAGTCATGAACTAAGGGGACCTAAATACGAGGGACATTAAGCCAACTGGAATACTGTAACTGAAATCAGATAAAAGTTAAAAACAGGATATGGAGGCGTATAAGTCAAAAGATATTGGTAAATGTTTCAGTTGATTGAGTTGTAACTAGCAATGTATTAATTTGAATGTGATATAATAAACCAAGGGAAACAGAGAGGAGATTTTTGATGTAACCCAGCGGTTCTCAACCTGTGGGTCGGGACCCCATTTGGGGTCGAACGACCATTTCACGGGGGTCGCCAAACAAAGCAGTCCGCCATTTCCCCCCCCCCTTTTCCTTAGCTGTGCTACTCCCTTTTATTCTATTGGCTTTTGAAAGCCAATAGAATAGACTCTCTTGAATAGAGTCTCATTCTATTGGCTTTCAAAAGCCAATAGGAATTGTCCAGGCGGTCTCTGCCCTGCTGAGCCCGCCAAAAGTCCCATTCTGCAAACGGTGCTGCACCAGTTGAGTAGTCCTTGACTTACGACCGGTTGAGTAGTCCTCGATTTATGACCGGTTGGGGGTCGCGACATTAAAAAGGTTGAGAACCACTGATGTAACCTGACATATGTATGAAAGAGCTTGTTATTGGACTATGGATTACCCAACCACCATGTTGCTTCCTTAATACCTGGACCTTTGTGAAATTGGAAAATTAATAAAACTTGTTTAAAAAAAAAAAAAGGTGAGGCCAAGTTGCCTTCCGGGTCTTGGCAGGCTGTGAAACCTCAAGCCCTCCGGCGATGGCCTCTCAGTAACAGAGATGGAAGGGATCTTGGAGGTCATCTAGCCCAACCCCCTGCTCAAGCAGGAGACTCTTTTACCATTCCTGGACAAACGGCTGTCCGGTCTCCGGTGAAGGTTGGATTAAAAAACCTCCAGGGATGGAGGACCCACGACTTCTGGAGGCCAGCCGTTCCGCTGGCTAACTGTTTTCAGGGTCTCTTCCCAGAGGTGGACTGAATTGCCCGTCATCCTCCATCGGAGGAGGGGGAGCCTCCCCTGAATTTCCCCTTAGAACAATTTGGCTGCTGTGCTGTAAAAGCAAACAAACAGCTGCATGGAGTCCCAGAGGCATTCTTGGCCATCAAACGGTGGGGATGGATGGAAGGAAGGAAGGAAGGAAGGAAGGAAGGAAGGAAGGAAGGAAGGAAGGAAGGAAGGAAGAGGACTTCTGGGATTGCAGGTTTGATTGTAACTTTGGCAGTTTGGCAACTCTTTTGTGTGCACAAGTAACTAGGGCAGGGGTAGGCAACTTTGGCTCTTTTATGACTCGTGGACTTCAATTCCCAGAATTCCTGAGCCAGCATGGCTCAGCTTGGAAACCTCTCCCTTTCCCCTCAGCATGGCTGGCTCAGGAATTCTGGGAGTTGAAGTCCACAAGTCACAAAAGAGCCAAGATAGCCTATACCTGCCCTAGGCTATATAAATAACACTTACAATAGCCCTTAGACCAGGGGTAGGCAACCTTGGCTCTTTTATGACTCATGGACTTCAACTCCCAGAATTCCTGAGCCAGCATGGCTCAGCTTGGAAACCTCTCCCTTTCCCCTCAGCATGGCTGGCTCAGGAATTCTGGGAGTTGAAGTCCACGAGTCATAAAAGAGCCCAGGTGGCCTACTCCTGAACTAGGGGAAGAAGCATTTCATGTTGCAAAATCCAAAACTGGCAACAAGACCCAGTCCTTGATGACTCACCCTGGTCCCTTCTAGGGATTTGTGGGAACCAATGACGTTGGTTCCCTTCAGTCGGTTCCCTTTAATTTTCCCACCGGTGCTTCTCCACCTCCTTAGCCATAAGATGTGTGGACTTCAACTCCCAGAATTCCCCAGAATTGACCTTCTGGACTAGCAAAGTTAATGCGGAAGCCAGATCCACTTCACAACAGTGTCACTAACTGAACAACTGCAGTGACTCATTTAACAACCAACCGTGGCAAAAAAAAAATCACAAAATGGGGCAAATTCACCGAAGGACTGTCTCATTGAGCGACAGAAATTTTGGCCGTAAGCCGAGAGCGACCTGTACTGAACTAGAATTTCATCATTTTCAGATTTATGATCTGCTGCCTGTAAAAAACCTCAGGGGCTACTACTACAAAAATGAGAACTTGGAAGACTCAGACACAAACCCTTGCATGCCTCCCAAAAAGATCGTTGTGGAAGGAATTCGCTACCAGACCGATACCTATTCTTACGGTGAAGGAGACGCCTATACAATCCTCAAGGTAAGCCACCATCCCCCCAAGTCCCCAAACTCCTGGCAGAATTTGGAATTTCACTCTAAGACTGGTTAGAAAAGGAAAGAAAGTCATTTTAGACAGAACCATCCCATCCCAAGAGCAAGTCTTTTTTTTTTTTTAAATGTACTTAATAAACAAAGATTAAAAGGAGTGAAAATAGAGGGTTTCTTTTGTTTTTTAGAAAAATACACCGGTTAAACATTCTGAGGTGATTTCATCCCTGGTCTCTGATGTGGCAGAGTTGGAGTTGGAAAAGACCTTGGAGGTCTTCTGAATCCCCTGTTCAACAAGGAGAGACTCTATAGCAGGGGTAGGCCACCTTGGCTCTTTTATGACTCATGGACTTCAACTCCCAGAATTCCTGAGCCAGCCATGCTGAGAGGAAAGGGAGAGGTTTCCAAGCTGAGCCATGGCTGGCTCAGGAATTCTGGGAGTTGAAGTCCACGAGTCATAAAAGAGCCAAGGTGGCCTACCCCTGGCCTAGGAGGTTCACCGCTTAGAACAGGAAGACTTAGGCCAGGGGTAGGCCACCTTGGCTCTTTTATGACTTGTGGACTTCAACTCCCAGAGTTCCTGAGCCAGCATGGCTCTGCTTGGAAACCTCTCTCTTTCCCCTCAGCATAGCTGGCTCAGGAATTCTGGGAGTTGAAGTCCACGAGTCTAAAAGAGCCAAGGTGGCCTACCCCTGCACTAGGTTCTCAAAACAACCTAGTACCTATGGTAGGGGTAGGTAACCTTGGCTCTTTTATGACTTGTGGACTTCAACTCCCAGAATTCCTGAGCCAGAATAGATGAGAAAGAACTGGAGAAGATAACAAAATACAAAGACTTACAAATAGAAATAGAAAGACTGTGGCAAAAGCAAGCAGTGGTCACCCCTCCCCTTTGCATGATCATGCTTTGGGTCGGGGTAGTCCACCTTGGCTCTTTTATGACTCCTGGATTTCCAACTCCCAGAATTCCTGAGCCAGCCTTGCTCAGCTTGGAAACCTCTCCCTTTCCCCTCAGCATGGCTGGCTGAGGAATTCTGGGAGTTGAAGTCCCCGAGTCATAAAAGAGGCAAAGGATGCCTACCCCTAGTTTAGATAGGCTGAATCCCAGCCTTGGTATCATAATTTTCATAACACATTGTAGCTTTAACACATTGGTGGTCTGGTGGTGAAAATGTTCGCCTCCCAGTCAGAAGGTTGAGAGTGCAATCCTAGGTAGCGGCAGATGTTTCTCTCCTAGGGTGCGAAAGAGAAAAAAAAATATCTGCTGCAAAAAAATATCTGTGTAGTGTCAGGAGGGACCCATAAATGCTCAACTCCATCCAGTCACCCTGACTCTACCCTGAATTAAGGGATTAGAAGGTCATTAAAAGGGTGTTTTATTGTGTTTTTGACACAACCCTCCCCCCCAAATGGAAAGGGTGCATTGTCACATCCATCTTTATTTTTTAACTAGTTTAACACAGCACTCTGGATGGACAATAGATGAATAATAGATGGACAGATGGATGGATCGAAGGAGCGGAGAGGGGGGGAGGGAGAGAGAGAGTGTGTTTGTGGGGTTTCTTTTCTATTCTTTCTGTAATATTCCATAATGAATTTCTGCTCATTTTACAGGACTTTGGTTTCAAAACTTTTACTAGCGCCCAGATACACAAGCCTAATATTTGTGTCACCAGAACAGACGTGCGCTGTAAGAATCTTAAGTGGACTGATAGGGTGGGATGGGGCTCCTCTATCTATCTATCTATCTATCTATCTATCTATCTATCTATCTATCTATCTATCTATCTATCTATCTATCTATCTATCTATCTATCTATTTCATTTGAAGGTCAAAAAAAGTCAAGAGGGTGACTACAGCTGTCCCATCAAAGCCCTGTCTCTTCTTTATGTCCATAAGACAGACCTGTCAAACACAAGGCCCGGGGTCCGGATGCGGCCCGCAAAGTGGTTTCATGTGGCCCGTGAAGCTATCCTGGAAACAGTGAGGGAATGGCCCCCGCTGCCTTGGCCCTGGCCCAGGCTGGCCGGCCGGGAGCCAATGTACAATTTTGTGGTGGCCATCTATGCTGAAATGCATTCAGTCTTAGCTCCACAAGGCCATCTGGAAACAGCGAGGAACCAGCCCCTGCCATGTCAGCCCCGCCCTTTGGGTGCATGCTGGGGAGGTGTCACCCTTTGTGAGAAATGAAGAAATTCACCATCGCCTGGAAGTGGCCAGCAAATGGTCCTCGCCTACTTCACCTATCCGGCTTGATGGGCTCTGGGGGAGGGGTTTCGACAGGCTCCTCCAATGGACCATGCCTTGGTGCTTGCCCTGGTCCCACCCCCTTCTGCCAGACACCCTCAGATCTGTCCCACTCCTGCTCAGGCCCCCACGGGCACCCTTGACGCGAACGATGTAGAGCTGGCCACGCCCACCCAGTAGGCCACGCCCACCCAGTAGGCTGCATCCACCCTGCTTACATACACCCCAAGGGCAACCGCAATGCTGATGCGGCCCTCAATGAAATTGATTTTGACACCCCTGCCATAAGATGAGGCAGGATAAGGAAGACTCTTGATGCCTTTGAACTCTGGCATGGGATGGGATTCCTGAGGGTAGCTTGGACAGCTTAAAAAAACCCAAACTGATGAATCATTGAACAGATCAACTGCAAGTAGTCCCTCGGGCACAAAGGATCAGGCTCAAGCTATCATATTTCAGACACCTTATGTAAAAAAAAAACCTAGCTTTCTTGAGGAGACTCTAATGCCTGGAAAAGTGGTGGAAGGAAACAAGGAGTAGACAACAAGCAGGTAGGGGGATGGCATCCATTTCAGGGTTGATGGAGGGACTGCTAGAAAAGCTGAAGGACCAAGTGAGGGACTGATTGTCATGCAGAATATCTGTGTAGTCAGTAAGAAAGCAACAAAGTGCGGTGGCTCAGTGGCTTAATAATAGTGGAGATGGGCTATGCCTGTGGTGGCGAACCTATGGCACGCGTGCCACAGGTGGCACGCAGAGCCCTCTCTGTGGGCAGGCGCGCCGTCGCCCCAGTCCTAGGCCTTCAGCTGGGTTTTATAAAACCTTTTCGCTTTAGGTCTCCGCCGCCGTGTGCAAAAAAAAAAAAAAAAAGGTCCAATCAATCAATTTCAACTTCTTGCGGGGAAAAAAAGATCTCGCAAAGTTGGAATTGATTGGTTGAACTTTTTAGTCCCACCCAGTCTGCCGTTACCACTGCAGCCACGCCCACCCAATGGGCCACACCCACCCAGCACCCGACGATAATAAGTGGGTTTTGGGTTGCAGCTTGGCCACTCGGTCTCTAAAAGGTTTGCCATCACTGCGGTATGCTCCGGTGGTTTGAGTCCCAGCGCTATGTGGCGGTGTGAGCTTCCATCGCTCACCTCAGCTTCTGTCCACCTAACAGTTCTAAAGCACGTTCTATGCAAGTAGATCAGGAGGTACCCACTTTGGTGGGGAGATGAGTTGGTGCTCCCTGCAGACAGTCAGACTCCTGCTGGCTCTGAACCTACCCGTTCATGGCACCTGTTTGCAAGGTAGCTCCGGGGAAGGGAAGGGAAGGGAAGGGTGGTGCTACAGGAAAGGCGCCCATCTTTTTTTGGGGGGGTGCAAAGTCAGCCCACCCTCCTGTGGCGCACTTTGGGAAGCGCATGAATGTGTCCTACAACAGAGCTGGTAAATTGGCAAGCCAAACTACCACTCTGCAATAACATTGTAGTCTCCTGGCTAATGTAAAAATGCCATAGCATAAGGATGAAGATGAGGAGGAGGAGGAGGAGGAGGAGAGGGAGGAGGAGGGTAAGATAAGAGCATAAGAGGAAAAGAATAAGAATCAGCAACAAATTGATGACCTACAATCATCAATCAAGGAGGCAGGACTTTGCTTAATTGCAGCCACCCTCTTGACTTTTTGAACCCGCAGTGGACACTCTGGTTGCAAAGAATATTTCAGTAGACCTTGAAAACTCAACCAGTTGGAGAAAGTGTCCTTAGGATTTCATCTTCTGCATTTCCTTCTCTTTGTTTAACCAGTGCTTGTGGTTCTCAGAAGTGGTAATTATTATCTTTTAAATGCTTGTAAGGGTGATGGGTATCGCCTCGGAGAATTAATCTTGAAGAACAGCTTGGAGGTGCTAAAATAACAAAGAAATGCAAGCTTTTTCTCTTTGCAGACAGGGTCTATGATGCTGTAGGAGGTATGGCTGCACCAATGACTGCAGAAATGAACTCGGGTGCAGAAGCAGTGGAAACAACCGTCCGGAGCTTTTTCCCAGAAACCTGGTTATGGTCCATCACATCTCTGAGGTAATCCAAGGGTTCCATGTTTGGTGACAGGGGTAACTCTTTAGGGAGAAATATTACGACCTATTAGCTGCTAATAGATACTGTATACATTTGCAGATCTACTCATAAGAGCAGCATGGTGGCCTAGTGGTGGAGACGCTTGCCTCCCACTCTGAAGGTTGAAAGTTCAATCCTAGGTAGTGGCAGATGTTTCTCTTATCAAGGCGCAAACAGAAAATATCTGTTGCGAACTCCACATAGGCCTCAGGAAGGGCATCTGGCCAGTAAACGCTCAGCTCCCAGTCAGTCGCCCTGACTCTACCCAGAATTAAGGGATTATAGCAGGGGTCTTCAAACTTGGCCCTTTTATGACCCGTGGACTTCAACTCCCAGAATTCCTGAGCTAGCCATGCTGAGGGGAAAGGGAGAGGTTTCCAAGCTGAGCCATGCTGGCTCAGGAATTCTGGGAGTTGAAGTCCATGAGTCATAAAAGGACCGAGTTTGAAGACCCCTGGATTATAGGGTTGTAAAAAGAAAAAAAACATGGATAAGGCCATCTACAGATAAAAAGATCCTCAAATTTTTAATCAAAATACTGTGAAAAATGTGCTGCCCATAGATAATTCAACCCCCATTTTTCATGGTACACTTTATTTGGTAAACTTTGAGGGTCAGCTTGTCCATTGATCACACTCAATGTGTAGTCCTTAATGGAGCTACATTTACATGGAGCAGGGGTAGGCAACCTTGGCTCTTTTATGACTCGTGGACTTCAACTTCCAGAATTCCCGAGCCAGCCTGGCTCAGCTTGGAAACCTCTCCCTTTCCCCTCAGCATGGCTGGCTCAGGAATTCTGGGAGTTGAAGTCCACGAATCATAAGAACCAAGGTTGCCTACCCCTGCACTAGAAGACCTCCAAGGTCCTTTCCAACTTTGATATTCTGTTATAGATATGGATATTTTATGTTATTTTATTTATTTTATTTTATTATATTATATTTTATTATTTATTTTATTTTATTATTTATATTTCACATTTCTGAACCCCCCCCACCTCGACTTAACGATCAGAATTGAGCCCAAACATTTCTGTTGCTAAGCAAGACAGTTGTTAAGTGAGTTTTGCCCCATTAACAACCTTCCTTGCCACCGTTGTTAAGTGAATCGCCATGGTTGTTTCATTAGTAACATGGCCGTTCGGTGAATCTGGGCTTCCCCCCTTGACCCTGCCGGCCAGAAGCTCGCAAAATGGATCACATGACCCAGGGACACTGCAACCGTCATAAATATGAGTCAGTAACCAGGAGGTCTGAATTTTGATCACATGACTTCGGGGATGCTGCCGCGGCCGTCAGCATGAAAAAATGGTTGCAGGCCGCTTTTTGCAGGGCTGTCGTAACTCTGAATGTCACCAACCGAACTGTGATAAGTCGAGGGCTTATGTGTTATTAAGGTGACCAACCGTCCTCCTTTAGGGAGGACAGTCCTCCTTTTGTGACTTCTGTCCTCCCTCAAAAAGTGTCCTCCTATGTGTCCTCCTTTTCGATATTTGAAGACTTATCTGCAGGGCTTTTTTTTTTTCTCATAGAACGCTCAGAATGGCGTTCTGGCACCTTTTTTTTTGATGGTTTTTTTTTTCAACTTTTGCATGAGCTGTGCTACTCCCCCTATTGGCTTTCTCTAGCCAATAGGAATTGCTGCTGAGCGCGCCAAAACACTTGGCCCGCAAACTTTGCACATGCAAGTTGTCTGCAGCGAAGGTGAATTGGCAGGAACTTAGCACCCCTCCCTGCTACCCAACTACATCATCTCCTTGTTCAGGGGTAGGCAACCCAAAACATTCAAAGAGCCACTTGGACCCATTTCCCACCGAAAACAAAACACCGGGAGCCGCAAAACCCTTTTGATATCTAAAATGAAGATAATACTATATATATCCTTTTTTACCTTTATTATAGGTGTGTGCATGTTTGTGTGTGTGTGTGTGTTTGTGTGTGTGTGTGTGTATGTGTGTGTGTACATATGTGTGTGTGTGTGTGTGTACACACACAGGTAAAAAAAGGATATATGCAGTGTTATCTTCATTTTAGATGTCAAAAGGGTCTCTCTCTCTCTCTCTCTCTCTCTCTCTCTCTCTCTCCCTCCCTCCTATCTGCTGCTCACCTGGCAAGCTTCAAGGTGTTGTCCAACAAGCTCAGGGGTAAGCAACCTCGTCTCTTTTATGACTCATGGACTTCAACTCCCAGAATTCCTGAGTCAGCCTAGCTGGGCTAGCTAGCTCTCTCCTGCCCTTCCTGCTTCCTGCAGAGACGCAGCAAAGGGAGGAGCTCCACCCAGGAAGCTTTTCAGCTCCTCAGAGAACACTGTGAGTGCACTCTCTTTTACACACACATACACACACACACACACACAGAGGGAGAGTGAGAGGGGGGGGCAGAGAAGCGCAATTGCCTCTCTCTGTCTCTGTCTCTCTCTGCAAAGGCAGAGGAGGCTGGGAGCCACAGGGGAAGGCCCAAAGAGCTGCATGCGGCTCCAGAGCCGCAGGTTGCCGACCTGTGTCCTAGTTAGTCCCGAGATACCTGGAGGAGACTGGAGTGGCAACGCCACAGAAGCTTTCTCTTGATCTTTGGTCCTGCTAGGGCAATAATGGCTGTGGGTGCAAGAGGAAGGGGCAGCGGGGCTGCTGTGGGCGGGAGTGTGAGAGGCAGTGGTGGCTGGCTGCCCCCCATACTGTGGGAGCCACGGGGCCTGCTTCACACGGGACTGCACAGGGTGGGCGGTGGTGCTGACAGGGTGGCTGCAGGTGAGGTGTGTTGACGACAGGCTGCCCCCCGGGGCTGGAGCTGGCGCAGCTGGTGCTTTGGGAGCTGCGGGGCCCGCTCTACACGGCGGGGCAGCAGTACTGGCGGGGTGGCTGTGGGCGGGGGCGCGGGCGCGGCATGTAAGCATAATTACAATATAAAATGTTACTGTTACACATGTTTTTTTATTATGCCTTTATCATAGTGTATTCTGCATTACTGTTGCAATGAATAAAATGTTTCTTTTATTTACGATATTTTTTTCTTCAATTTATTTGTGTCCTCCTTTTCACTGTAAAAAAGTTGGTCACCTTAGTGTTATTGTGTTCTCATCTTGTCAGGCCGTGAAAATATTGCTTTCTGAAACTCCTCTTCACCTCTGCTCCTCTTGCCTCCCTCCGCAGTGGGACCGACGCCACTCTGCCCGTCACTATCCCAGACACCATCACAGATTGGAGAGCGGGAGCCTTCTGCCTGTCCCCAGCGGTGGGTTTCGGCCTGGCCCAATCCACCTCCCTGATTGCCTTCCAGCCATTCTTCGTTGAAGTCACTCTGCCGTACAGCGTCGTCAGGGGGGAAGCCTTTGACCTGAAGGCCACCGTCTTCAACTTTCAGAAACGCCCCATCCAGGTGAGGAACTCTTCCATCTCTGCCACCTCCGTTCTCTTTCTCTCTCTCTCTGCCTCAATCTCTCTGGAGGCAGGCCCGCGTATAAAAGTAGGCCTCAACGGTTCAAAGTTACAGTGATCTGTGATCACTTTTTTTTCACATTTATGGAGCGCGGCAGCATCCGCGTGGTCATGTGATCAAAATTTGGACACTTGGCAACTGGCATGTATTTATAACGGTTGCAGTGTCCTGGCAACCCGGTGTCCCCATAGTTACTAACTTGATAACTGCAGTGTCCCTCTCATCTTTGTGGCAGCCCCTCAGATATTGGAACCCTGCTATCAAGTCACCCCTCGACCTTCTCTTCATTAAACTAGACACACCCAGTTCCTGCAGCCGTTCTTCATACATTTCAGCCTCCAGGCCCCTGATCATCTTTGTTGCTCTTTTCTGCATGCTTTCCAAAGTCTCAGCAACTTTTTTTATAATATTGTGACCAAAACTGGATGCAGTATTCCAGGTGTGGTCTTACTAAGGTTTTCTAAAGCAGTGCTAGTCTATACAAAAGCTGCTTATATATGTTTAAATGTGTGTTATGTATGTGGACACTTTGAGAGCAAGCAACTAAATTTCATTTTTAATGTGTGCCATTGTGCCCACAGTAAAAAATGACAGTAAAGGTTACCTACCTACCTACCTACCTACTTACCTACCTACCTACCTATTTATCTGTCTACCTACCTACCCACCTACCATCTACCTACCTATCTATCTATCTATCTATCTCTATCATCTATATCTATCATCATTCTATCTATCTATCTATCTATCTATCTATCTATCTATCTATCTATCTATCTATCATCTCTCTATCCTCTCTATCATTTGTCAGTCTGTCTGGCTGGCTACCTACCTACCCACCTACCTACCTACTCATCTATCTATCTATCTATCTATCTATCTATCTATCTATCATCTATCTACCTATTATCTATCTATCTATCTATTTATCTATCTACCTATCATCTATCTATCTATCTATCTATCTACCTATCATCTATCTATCTATCTATCTATCTATCATCTCTCTATCCTGTCTATCATCTGCAAGTCTGGCTGGCTGGCTACCTATCTATCTATCTATCATCTATCTATCTATCTATCTATCTATCTATCTACCTACCTACCTATCATCTATCTATCTACCTACCTATCATCTATCTATCTATCTATCTATCTATCTATCTATCTATCTATCTATCTATCTATCTATCTATCTATCTAGTACTTCATGTGACCTTGGTTCTATATTCATGCCATTCAGGATTGATATTGTTGAACTACCCTTCCCAGCCTCCCTCAGAGTTAACTGCTATCCAGTGCTGCTGGGAATTGTAGTTCAACCAGATTTGGGAAGGGCTCAGATTCTCCACATTTGCTTGAGTCCCATATGGCCTTTTGTGTGGCATTCATCTCCTCTTCCTCCTTGTCCTGTGAGTCCGCGAGGCAGTGGTGGTCTCCTCCTTCTAAGTCCTCTCTGGCTATTAACAGGTCAGCGTATCACTGTTGCTTTCTCCTGACTACGACGCTTCCCCTGTGGAAAAG